TGCATTGCAACTGGTTCTCAACGAGTTACTTTAGTACAGGAGACAATTGCAATTTAAGCAGATAACAACCCAGAGTTTCATTATAACAGATGTAGCAATGCAGTGTTCTTTGGTTAATCAGGTGAGCTGCTGCATGTCACATTTTTTTAAATCTTTTGCAAGGGATGCTATAGAGGTATCACTCGAGTGATGTTTTGAGGATAATTTTCACATGCGGGAGTTAGGCCGTGAAACCTGCACACAATAGGCTATGCTATTATATTGCAATTGCACGAGGTTTTCAAAATTAAATACATCTGTACATGCCAAATGATGGCAGACATGGACCCCTTACGTTTATAAATAGGTAATAAGAGGGAATGTGCTTACAAAGATATCCATTTAAATATACAGCAATTTGGTGCAATATATTGCTGATTATTGAGCCACCTGCAGGCAAATCAAAGGCACCTTGATGGAAGTTTGAATGCTCTTGTCAATCATTAAATTACCTAGGCGCCTAATAAATGCATAACTTGTGTTTGCTTCAAAAGGCTGTTACATATATGTCACGTATAACATTGTATTTATTCAGAGAACCATTGTATTTCCTAATAAGTGCTGGATATCTTAATGGTATTTTAAGTAATTTCATAACATACAGTATTGCTATTATGAAAATTGTACAATGATAATCACGGTAGTAAACAGTTTATTTTCAGTACACTGTTGAATGCGTCTTAATGACGTGTCATAACACTGAGGTGTTTTTTTAAACATTACCTTCCTTTATCTATTGTACATAGAGCCATGTTGCTAAGTTACAATGGGCACTTGTGCATGTGTAGTGAAACAATCCTCATGAAGATATTACAACAGGGATAGTGATGAGACTCCAGACTCATGGTTGCTGAATTGAAACGCTCACGGCACCAATGAGTGGAATAGAGCCGCTCCCCTACAGTGCATGGGTGTGACATTAGTATGATATGCGGACAGACACGAGGCTGTCGGTTAAGGGAGTTCAAATGCAGTTACGGTAGTTAAGTGAATTGAAGGACAGATACACATGGGTGGAAGGGAAGTTAGAATTCAGTAAAATCTGGAGATGAAGAGCGTGGTTGCATTGTGAGAGCTGTGTATGAAGTATAATAGAAGTGTCTGAGTGAAAGTAGACACGCTGCCGATTGTTCCAAGTGTAGAGTAGTGCTTTATTTGTGTTACCCATGTGGGTTCAAATGTACACGACTGTCCGGAGTCTGCTTTTCCTGTTTATATAGTCAAATTTATGCGACGTTACACATGCACCATTGTATGTATGTATGTTGAACTTTCGGACCGTACGTAGCCAACCGTGCTAATCGGAGGTGTGGAATTGCTCACATTGTTCAACACACATACAGATTGCTTTCAGAAAAAAAATGAATTTTTGGCACAACAAATGTCTCGTGTTTTCAAATAATTAACTAACGTTCACAAACACTGTACATCGTATGCGGCGCTGGGCCAGCCAGTTCACGAGTTTCATGGTCAGCTGGCCGATAGGAATTCTTATTTGTTTTGAGCTCCAGCCTGCCTTCCTGTGGGGGAATTTGCTCATAGATCGAGGGAGTGCTGCTCCCACTCTTAAGAATTTGGGGGTGGTGGTGGGCTGTTCTCTTGTTTTGCGCAGGGAGGGCTGAGGCAGGATGCCGATAGAGGGCAGCGGTGGCATCGCCGCAGGAGGCGTCTCGCGTCCCTCGACGAAGCAGAAGCGCAAGGCCCACAGCCTCTCTATCGGTCGCACCAACAGCGGAGAGCCCGACCGGAACGCAGTGCACCGCGACATGCTGGAAGGGCAGGTACTGGCTCACTGAATGGTCACTACAGTCGCCATTGCCACCACCGCTACCTCTACCACCAACACCTGCACAAGGGTTACCGGCATTGGTGTCGGTATTGTCATAAATCATCAATATCATGGCAGCAGGATCATCGGTGGCATCGCTATCATCTTCAGTGTCAAATATTGTAGTACTATAATTATCTTTGGATTATCATTTGGGATTGTCAAACCTATCGTTATCTTCATGGATCACCAGTGTCACTATTGTAATAATTATTTACAAATTAGCATAATCATCAATAATAAATTGTGTACTTTTATTAAAAATCATTGTCATAATCGTCATCATTTGTGGTCTCATGATTATCATAACCCATCCTTAGGATTTATAATGGCGGAAAATACATTTGAATGCACATCTGCTGTTGTATACAATATAAAAATACAGACATTTTGCAAGAAAGTTAGTGGTAACAGTAACATAGTACCTCCTGTGCATTATCACACTCTTGCAATGGTAAGCTTGCATCTGAATGAGTTTTCACCTGCTCTTTAAAGTCAGTATGTGGTTTGACAAATTATTGCGAGACCACATGCTGCATGTACATGCCTTTCGGCAGAAGACAGACATGATATACTCCATTCTACGCCATTATCCACGTTATTTATTTTTGTCTGCACAATTCCATATTAAATGTCAATGTTGGCTCTGATAAATGTACTTTGCCAGCTCTATGGCTGCCTCAACTGGCTGTGTGGGTGTAATTGTCATATGACCTAAAGTGGACAGGGTGCATGGTTTGGTTCCAAGGCCTAATGGTGCAAATCGCTTCACAGCTTGAGAAGTGGCAGCTCTGTATCAACAGTGCAGTTCTTTTTTTCACGTTTTTTGTAAAAAAAATATATATATACGTTTAATGCTTGACGTTGTTACTGTGTTGCTCAGAGGGTTAACATCTGTGCTGGAGTGTTGCAGCGGTGAGACGCAAACTACCTCGCCTGGTATGCAGGTCGTTGGTTCGATCCCGACCCTGATGCCTGCTGTATATTTGGAGTTCGCATGTTCTCCCTGTGGTCGCGTGGATTTTTCTCTGGGTCCTCCAGTTTTTCCCTCCAGAAACATGCGTTTAGAGCATTTGGCTACTATAAATTTCCACACAATAAGCCACTTCTTTAAGCTATCATTTGTTGCCAGGTTGCTTCTGAAAAAGAGCTATACAGCTCAGTGGGCCTTACCTGGTAAAATAAAAAATTATTAAGTAGTAGTCATTAGCACTGTTGAGATGCTACGTTAAAGTTCTAGGTTCTCACCAAAAATGCAATCCAACTTCTTGTGTGTAGTGAATTTAATGGGATTTTCCCTGGTCAGCAGTGCCCTTAACCGTTGACGATGGCCAAGAATTAAACCCATATTATATTGGGATTGTAACACAGTGCGCAAACCACTACACCATCTAACATGCACATGCGTACGCAAAAGAACCGATTGCATAGCTTGAAACAACATGTTTATTTTAAAATACTCATTGAAGTATAGCTATGGACACCGATGAGTGCGAACGTTTTTTGATGAAGTTGATGATACATTGAAATTTAGAAAAGCAGGTTTTGGCAGGTGTTATTATTGAGCGACATATTATTAAAACGTCGCACATACCTCATTGATTGCAATGGAATTCACACTTTGCAAACGTATGAATAGACTTCCAATAAAGTGTCTGCAACACCAGAAACAGTTGTTAGCGGTGTGACATCGCCGCGTTTGCATACCACTCGTGATACGTTTTCATGGCCATTGGAAAACAGGCCTGAGTCATGCTGGGCCGTTCCTGGAATGGCCAAGCAATGCTCTTTTCACGTCCCATTACTTGAAGAGCCCCCTCCCCTTCTTTATCTGCCCCTTCCACACCCTACTGCCCCCACTTCTTTGACCAGAGGGAAGCGAACTTTATCTATATTACATTATGTGTATTCCCTAAATTGTATCCTACTGCCAGCAGTGGTGTGAGTCAGGAATTGCAGGGCTGCACATTTGAACCTTATGGCGGGACCCCGGGGTCCCGAATAAATGGAAGTAAAAATCGCAATTAATTAATTTATAACATTTTGGCGACTCCGTCCCACCGCGCACATAAACGCCGCGACCCAGGTCACAAATGCCGCGACCCACCTGGTGCGGATCATTCTGTTGTCACGTCGTCTAACCGCAGCGAGGACGAATGCGCAGAAGAAACAAAACTTTGATTAGCGCATCGTGTAGAGCTCGTCGAGAGGAACAGTTTGCCATATTGTTCGTCTTCAACAGACATAAAATTACGTTGCAACGCAGTTTATACGAGAGCCGGGGGCTTATGGGACCCCGGGGTCCCGCCATAAGGTTCATTTATCGGTGAAACAGTGATTTATTGTAAGTATTTCAATATTTGAATTTTAAGCAAAATTGATGTCATGCGTCATCAAACTTGCACCATTTCTGGCAGGAAAAACACAAGTGAAGCGTGAAAGTGACATCACTTCCTGTGACATCACATGTTCAGATAGATCTTAACTTTCGATTTAAAGCCTTCGTGACTGCAAGGATTCATCTTCTTTGGTTCTTTCGGTAAAGTCACGTAGAATGAGAATAAAATAATAAATTGATAAAATAAAATAACACAATAATATTCTCATGACGTTTCGGCCACAACACAAGCGGCCTTCATCAGGTGAAGGGACGAGACTGTCTGGAGGACAGCGCTGGAGTGAAAAAGCCACACTCAGATTGTGACCTTTAAGCTGTGTGAGAAGAAACAAAGCGCCTTGACAAAGGAATTAGCATAGAATTTAGCATTGAAATGGCTGAGTGATTGTTATTAAAGACTTATCTTTATTAATATTGTATCCTTATGCTTCGAGGGGTGCCTCTGCGGATGTGTATGCTTTAACTTTAACATAGCCATTTCTGTGACCAGTCACAAGCTAATCACTCAGCCATTTCAATGCTAAATTCTATGCTAATTCCTTTGTCAAGGCGCTTTGTTTCTTCTCACACGGCTTAAAGGTCGTGATCTGAGCGTGGCTTTTTCACTCCAGCGCTGTCCTCCAGACAGTCTCGTCCCTTCACCTGATGAAGGCCGCTTGTGTTGTGGCCGAAACGTCGTGAGAATATTGTGTTATTTTATTTGATCAATTTATTATTTTATTCTCATTCTACGTGACTTTACCGAAAGAACCAAAGAAGATAAATCTTAACATTATCTATCTATGCACTTATCTTATATCCTGTTCATGTTATGGTTTCCTACATATCTCTGTACCCTTGATCATGTTTGTTTAGTTTCTCTGTGGTCTTATATAGTTATTTTATGTTGGTTTCACAATGGGTCAGCGTTTTTTATATGCAATTTGCATGAATGGCGCTAAATAAAATATAACTATTGTTATGATTCCCTGTTTTAATAATATTTCTGATAAAGCAATACATCGAGAATATATCCCTCGTGTATACAATCCCTGGAGAAGGCTTTCCTATTACTTTATTGCATTAAAAGTGGCAGTGGTTAACACAGTTGTAGATGCGAGTGTCAGTCTCAGTGAGCGTTAAATGTCTTTTTCACACATGTCCTGGAGGGGTGCGCGTCAGAACCTCACATCAACAAACAGTACAAAAACACGATTGGAGTGCAAAGTATAGGACAGGTAAACAAATCACTTGAATAGAATATAGAAGTAAAACTAAATAACAGGTGGCCAAGCAGATGTGCCAGATTTTATTTTAGGATGATTGAATTGAAAGATGTGTTGTGCTCGCAGCATGGGTGTCTCTATGAACGTGTGTTTAAACGTATGAACACCACTGATATTAATATTACAGGGGCTGTGCTTTAACCCTCGTGTTGCCAAATTACATTTTTTATTGAGTTTGAAAGATCAACAAGGTATAAAAGAAAACATTCTAAAATTACATCTCATTCTAATGGTCTCACATTAGCCGTAACCTTAGTCTAACCAACACTTACATGTCTGTGTTCTGCAGTAATTCAGAATGTTGGGCAGTTAGGATTTATGAAGTGTGGCCCTTGACGTAATGTTTAAATTTATCAGTTGATGTTTTGTTATGTGCGGTAAAATATGAATGTACTTTCAACATTTAATTTGATGTGTGTATAAATATTAAATATTGTTGATGTTAAAGCTTGAGAGATCCTAAATTATGCTCCCAACTTCTACCATCACCATTAACTGCATCTACAGCGCTTACATCATCACTAATGATGGCATGCATGTGTTTGTTTTTGCTGATGGAATTTATCACTTTATTTAGTATTCACAAATGTTACAGGACCAAAAATATGCTAAATATAGCACAAGAGTGGGTGGGAATGCAACAAATCCTAAGGCTCTGTTTTCAAAAGATGGCCATTGTTTTCCAAAGTCATGGCCAGGATGTGGAGAACTACCTTTGAATAACTAATGACCAGACTTTACCTTGTGCAATGTGTTTACGCTGATATAAATACCTCTTTCAATACTTTTATGAATTTGTTAAATCCAACAAATTAATGTTTTGGTGCACAGTGGACCATCATTTATCTTGGTACAAATAAAAAACGAAATATAAAATATTCCCCGAATGCCTTTTCATTGGGCTATAGGCCCAGCTTACGAACAGTGCCCCAGAGTGATTTTCAGCAGTGTGGATAGTGGCTGCTCTTATACTTTCCCATAACCGGTTTGGGTGAAAAGGTGCATTTTGGATGAGATTTTTGTACTGAACCTCACAACAATTGGCTATGCCGCCATAGGCATAGCCAATTGAGCATGCAGGTGGTTTCACTGCTCCGGGTCTCACGTGCTTGGAGAGGGTCAGTGGCGGGACTACAAAGAGGGGGAGATGATGGACAGAGGCCCCATTTTCATCCTCACACGAGGGTCCATACCAACCATTTTAAGCCACTGCTACTCATGTAACTAGTCATGCATTAAAATAAAGGCTTAAAATCACAATAAATGCATCGATTCGTGCTTGTAAAAATCTATTTTCTTTTCTCATACATTATTTGTAATTGGTTATATGTGACCACTGCTTAATAACTCTTCTTCGCTCCCTGTGGAGCACAAGGCCGCAACAAGTCCACGCCATGCCGGACGGTCTTTAGCGACTTTCTCTGATTCACCCCTTAGATAGGCCCATGGTCTTTAGTTGGTCTTGAATGGTGCATCGCCAAGTGGCCTTCAGCCTGCCTTGTGGTTTTTTTCTCTTGTGTTGTCCATCGTAGGGCAGTTTTTGCTATGGACACGAGTTCCATTCTACCAGAGTGAAGGATGGTGTATCCCACTGATGAAATTGTCCTACCTGATCCAGTCCAGAGACACTCGCTCACTCTTATGATGTCAATTTGGTAGCGTTTCATCTCATGGACAACTTGGGTCGTCTTGGAAGGTCTGGTACATTGAACGTACGTTCCAGGCTCCAACCTTGATGTTGTGCTTTGGATCCAAGAGGCCCCTTTTCACCTTTCCAACGTCCCTCTGAGGGCTTTGATTAGAGAGGATCATCCTGCCAGATTCGTGGCTAGGTGCCTCCTGGTACGTGACTACTGCAGCCACCACAAATGTTATTGAATCATGATCCTGTATCCTGAAAATTGATTGAATTATGACAGGTGGTGAAAAGTTACATTCCTACGTGATGCCATTCTACCTGCATGGGGAAACCGGGGGTCAAGAATAGAATCTATTTAAAACTACAAAACTGTCCTCTGCGGAAATTGCAAAAGGCTCATAATCACTGCTCACACACCTGTGTGGAGTCACACCAGCTGTTAGAATTAGAATAAGATAAGGATGTTGAGCGCGTTGGAAAATCTGGACAGTCTTCAGTGACCTTTTTAAACCCATAATGGTGCTGACTTTTTTTTCCGTGAACAAAAAAAATGCATGGTTGTCAAGGAAACCTAATTTACTTTTAGCCCGTTTTTAGAAATTACGGTTGTCTTGTGTTTCCACGCATTTGTGAGGTAGTGTTTTGAATTGCCATTGTAGACAAGCAGTCATTGCCAATTGTGTTTTAAAGTGATTAACCTACTTTTTTACGTACCATTAACATACTGTGAACATAAGGTGAACATTTTGTTCACAGCGTGTATTTTTTTTCGAACAAAAGCAAGCTTATTTGATCGTAGAAAGGTATTAGAATAAATCCAGGATTTACATTCATAGTCGCTATACAATGCACTAGTTTTATCTTAACACTACAGTTCAGTTATATTGCTCTGTGGCCAAGTACAGTTTTAAAGTTGAGAGGCTGACTGTATAAGTTTTAAACGAATAAAAAAAATATTTACTTGATGTATTTCTGCAACATTTATAAACATTGCCTGCGGGCACGGGGATGGCTTGGGCTGTAAATAATTGTTGGTGACCATGGGTCTAGGAAAACTCATGAATGGCGACCTTTGTATGGCAAGAAGGGCCCCGCCTTCCAGAAATGTAAACAAAGGTTCGAGACACGTCAGCTGTCTCACCTTGTCACGTGTGTGCAGCTGTGCTCAAGTGGTAACACCAGTTTCGCAAGGCTCATTCTACCGGACGTCCCAAGCTGACGACAACTTACTTTTGGGAGCTGTGCCGTGGCAGTTTTTTCTTTTTTTACTCCAACTTCACTGCAGTGTCATCCACGCGCGACCGTTTCCATTGATTCTCACGAACAAATTGTTCTTCATCCGAAATTTCCATTTGGCCTTCGAGCGTTCATCTATCTCTTTTATTCGTTTCTTCCTATTGTTTTCAATTTACATTTGATACTTTTTTTACTTACTCGGTCCGTTCATTGCCTTTTCGCTTCCAAGAGTTCGCCGTCAACTTCGCTGTGTTCGCCCGGCACCGCAATGTCTTCGCACCCGACCTTGCAGTGCCTCCCCGGGCGGTTCTAAAAGAGGGGCCGGCAGTGGCGATTGCCAGGCCGCTGTGTTTGCTTAGCGAGCGGGCGGGCGTGCGCGCGCGCGTGCTGTGGCGTGCGTGTTGTGCATCGCAACCTCTCGCTTTGGCCGGGTGGACGCTTGAGCAAACAACGGTCGCTGCTGGCGCGGCGGCAGCAGACTTGTTAGATACGAGCCGAGGGCGGTCTCGCAACTTCGAATGCGGTCACTGCCGTCGTAAGTCCCGACATTCATTCGGGCCTCCTCCTGGTGTTGGGCGGCAGAAGATGGAACTTGATAACAACAACGCGGAGCGAGATTGCGAGAGTGTCAATCGCAGGCCCTCACAGACCCAGGTAACCGATTGCGAACGTGTCACAGTTTTTAGTGCCAGGGGGGCAAGGTGCGAGACTAAAGTCTTTTGGAGGATGTGCTATGTACAGCGAGCCTTTGTAGAATGCCTTATTACATTGAGATGAGCATTATGGTATTGTTGCTTCATTTAAGGTATATTATAATGGCATTTGTACATCTTCTTTGGTTCTTTCGGTAAAGTCAGCGCTGTCCTCCAGACAGTCTCGTCCCTTCACCTGATGAAGGCCGCTAGTGTTGTGGCCGAAACGTCGTGAGAATTTCATTGTGTTATTTTATTTTATCAATTTATTATTTTAGTCTCATTCTACGTGACTTTACCGAAAGAACCAAAGATGATGAATCCTTGCAGTCACGAAAGCTTTAAATCGGCATTTGTACATTTATGTAGAAATAGATAGCAATTTTCTGGTGAATTCAATCATCTCTCCGGTGGTTTCTACAACTTCAATCGATGTAGCCCACTGGTGTGGGTTGTCATGTTTAACAATCATCAGGCACAGTCTTACACTTCAAGTCCTAATTTTTACTTTTCTCCATTTTTCTGTTCTGACGAGTTGAGAATTCCTGATCTATACAAATACTGTATCATCGTCATCAATCGTGAATGACCATTTTTTGTTTATTCAGTACTGTACCTTTAAAAAATATGCTGAAAAAACTAGACATTTACAATAAATAGAATACAACTTAAACATTGCATAAGCTGTCAACTGTGCATGCTATATTAACATTGTCATCACGCAAACCTGACATTGCTTACCAGTGCGATTGATACACACTTAACTCTGTTGCTCTTCCTAAAATACAATTCACCGTGAGTAAGGAATGTGCACATGATGTAGACACAATTGTGGTATCTCGTTCAACTTGACATTTCCTTTAACTGTGCATCCTCAACATAAAACGTTACAAAAGTTTGCGAAACAAATGCCCGTGTTCATGCATGCATGCGTGCGTACGTGTGTGTGTGTTTGCGTATGTACAGGACTCGCGGCTGCCACCAGCCATAAGGCAGACATTGCTGGAGCTGTTTGGGCAGATTGAGAAGGAGTTTGAAGTCCTGTACGTGGAGAACGTGGAACGTGAGTGAGCAGGGCATCGCCTCCGCTTTATCAAACATCATTCAGTGTTTACAGAGCGGCCGCTGTCTGGCACGCTGAGATAAGAGCCTTTACTGTGTGTGTGTGCTTGGTTGCGTAGGTGGTTGCTAGCAGCACTTGCCCCAACAGTCTTATAAGGACAAGGATGGGGGGGGATATATTTTTTTCAGCACAGACAAAAAATCCCCTGGGTAGCCTTTAATGGGCTGTTGTTGCAAGTGCTGTTACAAAGCACCTCCACATGCACACATGGCTGTGGTCCTTATCTTAAATGAGGGTACTTTGTCTTACATCAAAGGCAAAGGTCTCTCTTGATACCTTACATAGACTGTGGGGGAAAGTGCTTTTAGCAAGCACCTATTAAGGCCATCACAGCACACTAAGGGGTAATCTGACCAGCAATTTGCCGGGCAACCTCTGTCTCCTCAAGTTCTGGTTTTCACACACAATAGCACCACCTAATTTAAGGCTGAGTTGACCTATGGAGGCCCTGGAAAGGTTCAGGTACCACTTGCCACTGGTGTTAGCTGTGATCAGGAATCGAACCCATGTCGCCTGGATTGTATTGTGGTCCACTAACCACTAGCATCGCTGCCTCTCGTGAACTTCAGCACAGACCTGTAAAACGGAGTTTAATGTGCGATCATGGAAAACTTCAATCGCAAGTCCATATCAGAACATATTCTTGGCCTCTCCCAGGTCAATTCAGCCTTAATTGAGATACCTGCTGCGATGTGTACATTTCAGCACTGGGGAGACAAAGATGCCCAGACACGGTTCTCACTACACCACATAGCCTTAATAGGCTCTGACAATGCATGCCTTTTAGTCTGTAAGGCTAAATGGGGGATCTTTCCGTGTGTTTTCAGATTCGGGGTCCCCCGAGGCAGGGGACAAGTGCTCGTTTTATACAAGGGATAAACATGGAAAAAGTAAAATAAATTTTGTGTTTAAGAGTTGTATTTGGGAGTTAAGTTTTTATCTAGTTTATCAAAGAATATACATGCTCTGTAGAACAGTTAATATAGAAATGCCTGTTGATACAGAAAATTAAACGAGTTGCGTTATTATGCTCGTGATAAACGTTTCCCTGTTGTGACATTTACAGGTGTGTATTCACGTGTGTTTACATTCCTGGTGAAAATATTTTAGGTTATGTATAACACGTTTTACCTTGGGTTGTCACCAATGCAATTTTTGTGAAATGTAGAATGCAGTATAGTCATTTATGACTCATGCCAAAATTGTTTGGGGTAAAAAAAAAGTTAAACAGAATGAGCCTTATTTCATGACTATTTATGGCTCTGAGCTTAAGAGTGGTGTCTCTCCCACTTTAATGAGCCGTGTTTTGTAATACAAATGGCTTCTATAAATTCAAAGGCAAGGTGGCTGCAGGCGTGTCGTGGTTTTGCTCGATCGTTAATATTATTGGAGCCTGTAATGAGCGGGGTATTTAAGTTGCAGACTTAAAATACATGCAGTTGTGCGTTAATGTTATTCAGTTAAACAAAAACACGATGAAAGTTCTAAGTAATATTCATTTAATGTGATCTAATTGCAGAATACATTTGTGAAGAAATCTTTAAAGACCAACATGTAAAATTTTCACCGTTTGTTCTCCACTTGAAGGGGAATTTCTCATGATTGCTGAGAACTGTTACCACATTGTAATTGCGTGTAATGCATTATTACTGAAGCAGTGACTTTTCACAGCTTATTTTTTCTTGCCGTACATTAAAATGAGTAAATATTAGTTGCCATTAATTGAAATACGTTTTGAAACACACATGGAGATGCTTAATTTATCTTCGCAAATGGTGTACCTTGCATTAAAAAAAAGCGTGACATCAATTCTAATACTTCGTATATATTTTTTTATGCTTTAATCAGCTGACACATATGCCCACGTGGGAATGTATGCGAGTGCACACATACGCGCACTGCACATGCACGAGTATAATTTTAGCACTTTTACTGTTACGTCGCATTAATTTTAGTTGGGCCGTGACAATACTCTGACCCCCCCCGTTATTGGCAGCGGCTCATTAATAAACTAGTGAGGTCAAGAATAACATACACACTTTGACTTGTGCAGATCCACGCAGTGACTTTTTCCCCCTTGCCTTCTGCCTCCAGTACGCAAGGAAATTGATAGCTTGAACGAGCGGCTGGCCTCTGAAGGAGCCGTCACTGATGGCTCTGAACTCTCCAAGGGAGTCTTTAAAACCAAGAGTGAGTAATGAGCCCTCTCGCTTTCAAAACTTTACCCTGCCCCTGTTTACGTTGGCAGATAGCATACAGAGTATTGTGGCCACCGGGCGCCTGCATCAACCTGCATAGTGAGACATTGACCTTCAGCCTTGTGTCTCGGCCTCTTTTTTTGCAGCTGGTCGACCCCGACATTTCCTTGCTTACATGAATGTGTATATGCACTTTTGTCCTCTCTCGGTCACTTCATCATTTAATGCTAAGAGCTCATCCATGAGCTATTTGTGTTGGGTATTATGCAAGCAAATTAATTATCTGCTTGCAGAAAGGGTATTACGACAACCTAAATGTTTAATGAAAATTGTTTCTGCCTCAATTTGTGTGCATTTTGCCTTTTGACACCACACCATCTACCACTATCTGATATGTGTAATTGTAAATAATGTTGTTTCAAGATAATTGCGAATGAATGTTTTTGCAGTCCCCTTAATCACCTGAGATCTATTCATCCTCAGTGCTCTCAGCGGCAATGTAAATGATTACGCTTCTTAAAATATTAATCCATGTCTCTTGCTTTAGATAATTTTTGCTGTCCTTGTAGTTTTTCCAGGCATAGTCAGTGCGGTCATAATCATGCTATATTCCAAAGATTTGATCAGCGTACAGTGAGGGAAAAAAGTATTTGATCCCCTGCTGATTTTGTACGTTTGCCCACTGACAAAGAAATGATTAGTCTATAATTTTAATGGTAGGTTTATTTGAACAGTGAGAGACATAACAACAAAATCCAGAAAAACGCATGTCACAAATGTTATAAATTGATTTGCATTTTAATGAGGGAAGTAAGTATTTGACCCCCTCCCAATCAGAAAGATTTCTGGCTCCCAGGTGTCTTTTATACAGGTAACGAGCTGAGATTAGGAGCACACTCTTAAAGGGAGTGCTCCTAATCTCAGCTTGTTACCTGTATAAAAGACACCTGTCCACAGAAGCAATCAATCAGATTCCAAACTCTCCACCATGGCCAAGACCAAAGAGCTCTCCAAGGATGTCAGGGACAAGATTGTAGACCTACACAAGGCTGGAATGGGCTACAAGACCATTGCCAAGCAGCTTGGTGAGAAGGTGACAACAGTTGGTGTGATTATTCGCAAATGGAAGAAACACAAAATAACTGTCAGTCTCCCTCGGCCTGGGGCTCCATGCAAGATCTCACCTCGTGGAGTTGCAATGATCATGAGAACGGTGAGGAATCAGCCCAGAACTACACGGGAGGATCTTGTCAATGATCTCAAGGCAGCTGGGACCATAGTCACCAAGAAAACAATTGGTAACACACCACGCCGTGAAGGACTGAAATCCTGCAACGCCCGCAAGGTCCCCCTGCTCAAGAAAGCACATATACATGCCCGTTTGAAGTTTGCCAATGAACATCTGAATGATTCAGAGGACAACTGGGTGAAAGTGTTGTGGTCAGATGAGACCAAAATGGAGCTCTTTGGCATAAACTCAACTCTCCGTGTTTGGAGGAGGAGGAATGCTGCCTATGACCCCAAGAACACCATCCCCACTGTCAAACATGGAGGGGACAGGACAACTTCACCGCATCAAAGGGACGATGGACGGGGCCATGTACTGTCAAATCTTGGGTGAGAACCTCCTTCCCTCAGCCAGGGCATTGAAAATGGGTCGTGGATGGGTATTCCAGCATGACAATGACCCAAAACACACGGCCAAGGCAACAAAGGAGTGGCTCAAGAAGAAGCACATTAAGGTCCTGGAGTGGCCTAGCCAGTCTCCCGACCTTAATCCCATAGAAAATCTGTGGAGGGAGCTCAAGGTTCGAGTTGCCAAACGTCAGCCTCGAAACCTTAATGACTTGGAGAGGATCTACAAAGAGAAGTGGGACAAAATCCCTCCTGAGATGTGTGCAAACCTGGTGGCCAACTACAAGAAACGTCTGACCTCTGTGATTGCCAACAAGGGTTTTGCCACCAAGTACTAAGTCATGTTTTGCAGAGGGGTCAAATACTTATTTCCCTCATTAAAATGCAAATCAATTTATAACATTTTTAACGTGCGTTTTTCTGGATTTTGTTGTTGTTGTTATTCTGTCTCTCACTGTTAAAATAAACCTACCATTAAAATTATAGACTGATCATTTCTTTGTCAGTGGGCAAAATCAGCAGGGGATCAAATACTTTATTCCCTTGCTCTAGTTGCTTTTACTATGAATGAGTTTCTTACATTTAACAGCACAATCCAATATCAAAATACATAGCCACTGTCATAGTTACCGCTGCATTATAATTGAAAATGATAGCGCTAAAAAAGACGTGAAATGTCTCTGGTAGTGACCCCTGCTTCACAGGATAGAATTATAATTAATAATATCTTGACTTAAAATTAAAGCCCTGCCTGGAAATGATTGAGTGAAAAATTTATCATGACTCTATAGGAACAGCTATCTGTGAAGATATATGTTGGTAAATGGTTAAATAAGTGCTGGTAAGGTTTCATGTAATCTGGCATTGGCTGTGGTGAACTCTTGACCCTGGTGAAGGTAGTAAAATATTTTCATTCTTGTTTGTACGTGATGCCAATGTGACCCCAAAATTTGTATTCTGAGCACCGCAATAGCATTTTCCCACTTAATAGAACTGAGGGCAGTGCAGTTAATTTCATCATCAACAGCAATGATCATTCCACTCCTGAATGAAGATATTCCCAAGCCATCGCCTTCTCTCATGATCCTGCGAAGCAAAGATCTTTGCAGCATCCGCAAATTAGTTGATGTGAACGCGCAATCTCCGTGATGGATATCTTTTCAGGCGCGTCTCCTCCTGTGGCTGCCAATCTGTCATTAGTCTCGACCACTGAGCATCATCCTCTATTAACAGAGAGGTGTCAGTATTGCGTCCCCATCTTGTGGATGTTCTCTTTATGCACGCGTTGCAGTTCATTTACGCTACTGATTTTGTATTTTAATGTTTCACTGCATACTAATCGTTAAGCTTTGTTTTGTTTTCTGTACCGTGGTATCAACAGCCGGGCATTCTACGAGTCAACTTTCACAGAAGCTGAAAACGACTTACAAAGCGTCAACAAGCAAGGTAGAACATAGTCCTGGGACTTGCATCTCACCCTGACACTGCATTTTGCCAGTTTGCAGTAAAGATGGCTCATTAATCCAGCGGTATCCATTATAGGGGTCTGATTCACATCCGTCATCCTTTTATCGTCATTTGCCATTCCCTTCAGCATTCACTGGGCTGTGCCGTCCTGCCATCTGTAAAATCTGTCACCCCAAAGGCTCATTTGAATTCATTCACGCATGTGTACGAGATGGCAAACATGGGTGTATGTGGGGTTGTTTGTATCTGCGTCTGTGCATACGTGTTTGTGTACGTAGCCACGGGCGTGCATGGGACAGCACTATTCAGGTTATTAATTTTGAGTTTCATTAAATATTTTAGTTTATGTTGGTGTAAATTATCATAGTTATTTAATATCATAGTTTTTCAAAATCATAAATTTTTTGCCCCCATTTGGTGTAAGGTTGTGCTTCAAATTTGTTTCACTTACCGATGACACTATCGCACTATGGCGTTTGTTTGTGTTTGCTCAAGTTAACTGCATGTTTGAGGTTCGGAGCAGGCGTACATTTGTCTCACCACGTGGCCTGTGTGCGTGTGTGTGCGTCTGCGTGTGGGATGTGCAACGCAGGCGTGCGTCTGTGCAACCGTGAGTGCGCTTGTACGTGGGTGTGTGCGAGTTTACCATTTTTGGACGCGCGCCCATGTGCCGCGTGTATTTCTCTCCCGCCGGCACTGCTGTAGCGTACAGATGTGAGTGGAGCCCTCAATTTCAACGTTGGGAGCTGGGAGCTCTGGGGAGGAGATTCCTGGGTAATGGGAATGCTGTCCCACGGAATGCCCCTGAAATATTTCCCCCTCCCCGCACTCCAGTGCCCCTAACCTCGCTTTATGCATGTGAGACGTGTGATGGGAATCTTTGCTAAGAGCCTGTTGACCCCATTGAACGCCGTTCCACGCTCCGTGAGCCGTTTTCTGTCAATCGTTTGCGACGGGACTATTAATTTTGCAACCGCCGAGTGTTCCGTTGTTTAAGTCTGATGTTTCTCTTCGTGTTTGTTGCCTAACTTGCACCGACGTTACTGAATTCCAAAGCACCGTGGTGTGGAGTTTGTGATTGTGGTTTCCAACATCTTGAGCACAGTCAGGCTGTGGGTTATCTGTAAATTGTTTAAAAAGGTTTTGCTTGGTCAGCTTAAAGCAGCTTAAAGGAGTAAGTGGTGAACAATGTTAGTGTTTGTGAGGTTGCAGGATCTCATGTTGACTTCTGTTTGGGCAAAAAACAGTCGTGCAGTGTTGTGGAAATTTGCTTGCACGAAATATTTCTTTTAGTTTACCAAAGGCTGGGTTCTTTTGTAAAGACACTGCATTTTTTTGCCACCAAAGTACATGACTAGCTGGAGGTGTTCTAGATGAAATGTGGTTAATATTTAATTTCAACTCTTGCCGTGTTGGCGAAAAAAAATCCCTGGCAATTATGTTTTGAATGGAAGTAGCATAGCTGGGGTTGTCAGCAATATTTTGTGAGCTTTCACAATTTCGCACATGTGTGGTTTACTGTAGCGTGCATATTCTCTTCGTTTATCTTTATTGCCTGGAGCTGGTTTGGGTTATTTGAACAAATCGTGTATAGTCACACGCTTACAGGATCTCTGTGTCCTGGTGTCATTGAATGGGTTTAAGGAATTTTTGGGTGACAGTGAATTCACAGGGTCAAGGTGAAGGCTAATCCTTTACGCACTGCATGTCAACTTGTAGCGTAATACAGATGTTTTTAGTCAAGGTAAATATTGGCAATGCATGCTTTCTCAGGTTGAGGATAATACAGGGCTAAAGGGTGCCGTGTCTTTGCGTGTTTTCACAGTTTATTTTATGGCCAGCGCTTATGTTTTGAGTTACAGTACCTCTTTGGATTGAAAGTTAGCATTCAGGTAAGCACAAGAGCCTGTTTTTTTTGAGTATTTGCTGCAGGCTACACATCTGCAATTCATGGCTACAGTGTGATATACAGCAAATAAGTTACGGTTACTTATGCAGTTAAAGTGTAATGATATAACATGCAGGGGCATGAATGCGTGAATGTGTAGGAGACAATGACCGATTGTTTCGTGAAAAACGAACGTGTGTGCGTGTGCCGGACCGCGTGTTTGTGTGCGTGCGGGACCGTGTGCGTGCGCGTTCGTCTGCTGTTCAGATCGTGTCCAGTTTCAAGGCCACGACTACACGCGCCGTCTGCCAGCTGCAGAAGGAGTACGCCGGACACCGCGACGGCCTCTGGGATGTGGCCGCCACTCGCATCGCCCCTGTTGTGCTCGGCACTGCGTCTGCCGGTGTGTGCCATCATATCCAATCGCTCTTCCAATGCTTTCCAACTTAGGTTAAAAGCATTTATGCATTAGCTCTGTCCGTCTACCTATCCATAACGGTGAGGTACGATAACTCTTGTAAATTGGGTACAAAAAAAATGTACCTGTAGTACTCAATTGTGTTGCTGTTAGGGACCCTCTTGGATATCGGTCAAACTGATAAAAGGGTTTGATTAAACTTGAAGAAACAAACCAGTGCGAAATATTACTGTGTACAAAATGTGCAGACGCATTTATCTTTCACAGCTACTTGTCTACTTCTGTACTGGTAAATAAATACATGTTGAAAAACATTACATAATATGGGTGTTGTATGATCTATAGCTTTGCTTATTTTACGTTTTTCCCTCCACACTTAGAAACACGCGTTTACACTATTTAGATTATTTTGCTGCTATAAATGTCCAAATGATAAGCTACTTTGTTGAGCTATCATTTGTGGCCCGGTTGGCATTTGAACAGTAAGTTAATACCTCAGTGGGCTTTGCCTGGTGGGATGGAGATGGTTTAGTTTGATTTATATGTGTTTGGCTGATTTATTTACCTTTCTTGTACTTTGCATTCCTGTCATGTTTTTGTATTGTTTGTTGTTGTAACTTTCTTACCCGTCCTAACTGAATATCTTTTTTACAAAATGGAATTTCTATAGCAGTGTGCCTGGAATCCACATGGTTGTGGATTAATTTTTTCTCTCTCATACGTTTTCGAATTCCCGTTGGATAGCCTGTGATACACAAACTAGGTATTTTGTAAATACGAAATAAGAGTGTTTTTGAGTGGTATTTTGTTTGATTCAGCATCTTTCAAGTAAGCAGGCCACCTAATATTGTATTTCTATGATGATGACGGGCATCTCTTTTCAAAGGAACATTTGAGCACGTTTATAAATGTGTGGAGGAGGGTGGCTTAAGTAGCATAATTGGGACGACATGGTAATGTGTCACCACCGATAATTGTCTTCATATGAGTAGAGAAAATAAACTTATAGTGGGAAAGAGTGACTTGTAGTTTTCTCTGCCTAGCTGAGCTAGAGAATCATGGTAACTTCCCGTGTAGTCGCTTGGATAGACTTGCTCCTGTCATAGAAACGTGACATTTTTACCAATGGTTCAGGGCAGTTTATGGAACATGGGAAACGATATTAACCATGACTTTTGTTGTTACTTCTCTTTGAAAGTAAATATATCAACCTTCTCTCTAATCTGCATTTTTTTCTGTGCCCAGATCACACTGCCATGCTATGGAGCATAGAGACTGGGAAATGTATCTTAAAGTATGTTGGACACGCAGGCTCAGGTACTATGCCCGGTTCAACACACCCTTTGGCAACAGAACACATTACCACAGTTCTCATTAGTTTATCGACCAGTGATGGATTTTGAAATTGGCTACTTTTTGGGGATCACACAGTGATGAGAGCCTGAATTAATGGGTTTTACCAAGAGCCTTGATGATTGTGCGTGACATCCATCTGCGCGCACACACACACACACACAAGAGCCACCTTTTGCCACTCGGTAACGGTGATGTCACCGCGTGAGTGCCAGGCGAGATGCGTTATGATCACGTACATACACACGTGCACAAACACAAAGATAATCATCCCAAAAACTCATAGAGCTATTGAGACAAATTATTTCGAGAAGCCATTAAGACTTCTACAGAATATAAGGAGGTGGTGTGGCAAGAACCACACCTTTAAATAATTGCTCATTGCTGGTGTTTATACACCACACCAGGTACTCATATGAAACAAATTTTACCTTGTGGAGGCCTAGGAAAGGGTCATTACCACACGCCACTATTATCTTTGGCCAAGAATTGAACCCAGGTCTCTGGGTTTGTAGCACAGTAGCACATGTGTGCAAACAACTGTGCAAACAACTGCATCACCACTCCAAAATTGCGCACACATGCGCGTAGGGACTCTATAAATCTTTTTTTGTTAATCTTACAGATTATTTAGCCACGTACTGTTCTCAAATTGCTGTTTTAGAAGAGCAGCACTGTAATTATGTTTGTGACTTGACAATGCATTTAACATGTAAATGTTATTTATTATTGAACGTCATGTGTTATTGATCAGGAATAACATTTTTATAAACGCTAAATTTTCAAACAATGTAGTTAATGGGTAAAGCATATCTTAACTTCCCTGTTGATGCAACACGACAGTGAGCAGGACATAAGATCTGCTTTGCAGTGTCAACAGAAAATTTGCAAGACTGAATTGTTTTCATTAGCATGGTTCATGCAAAGTTATGCTACAATTGCCACTGTTTTTCACTTATAACAATCTACCGTTCAATGTATAGTTGTATCAATGCCACAAGCTTAGTGTGGGATTTTGTTTTCGAGAAATGACTAATTTAAAGAAAAAATGCTGCAAATAATGACATTTGAATTGAACTGTCGGCTAGAATAGGGGGGTGATTTATGAACTAAATTTTTGCTCTACAGTAGTGCATGTGTACTAACTTTAGATTACTTTGCTTTCACAGTGCGTGTTGTTTGGTGAAATTACCAACTGGTAGCTTGCTAAAATTGTTGTTCAACTTGTCATTTTATATGGAGTTGCAGAGCTGGAATAAATGTACATCTTGGTTTATTTAGAATTTCACAAAATGGTCTGTTGTTTGTTTATGTGTATAGTTTATGACTTTTTGCCAACATTTGATTAGTGATCCATAAATGCTGTCAGAAATGAAAGTTAATGGTGCACATATTCTTAATTTGTGTTGTGTGCAATTGTTTATTTTGACAGCAGTGTTTGGTTCATAAAAGTGACTGGTTTCTCATTATATTTTGTTTCTGTCCCAATTGCCCCACAGTTAATTCTATCAAATTCCATCCAACGGACCAGCTGGCTCTGACAGGTAACGAATAACACGCACACGTGCAGCACAGACACATACAGAAATAAGGCATAAGCATACATGAATGTGCTCAAAGCTAAAGGTCCTCTTTTTAGCCTTTTAGGTTGTACAGGTGGGCATTGTTAATCAGCTTGCTATGATTCATCAATGAAAATGATTTCTTACCCTCTCAATAAAAAAATTGAATTATGGATGTATGAATCGGTTATTTTAGTTTTATATACACAGAGTATGTGAGTAGTTGATGGAAAACCTGCAACCACTGGATTTTACAAGCTATGCAATGGCAAAAAAAACATCTATTTGTGAATCCATTGGCCCACTGGGCTCGGCCTAGGTGTTTGGTGAGTACCTATTAAGGCCAACACCGATGATAGCTTATCTAATTGCAATTATGGCACATTTCAACGACCACTGGGAAGTGGGCCAGCTCGGTTAGCTGAGCCGCCTTGAATCCCAATGCCAGCCTTACTGGGCCTATCTAATCTGGGTGCTTGGGGCCCTCTTTCTTATGTGCGGAAGCGTAGAGCACAATTGTCACGTCACGGGGCCAGCATGGAAGGGAAACGCACGGGCAATAGCATTTTAATCGTGACTCTCGATATCAAGGCCTTGTTTTTGAAACAAAAAAAGATCATTGCCTGGGGTATCTCGACCTAATCTAAGCCTGCATTAAACTTTGTTTAAATTATTTTTTACAATGGTTTCATTCTGGCCGTGAATGTTAGGGAGCGGTATGATTCAATCCCATTGAGCTTATGGTTCGTGAAGCATTGGGACAGCATCTCAGCCATTCCAGAAGAGCCGATGACCATTCCTGGTCAAGCGAGCCCACTCTTCATTGGTTGTTGGAACATTGCAAAGGTGATGCAGCTAACCAAAAAAACCTGGCAAATATTTGACATACATTTGGAGAAGCCCTTCAATGTTTGCGTTGAGATTAAACTATCTCTTCTGTCAATGTGTGTCCAAAATTAGATATGTGTTTCTGTGACTGGCGGCATGTTATGAATTTATGAAGAAGACCACACCGTGGCATCATGAGTAAAGAGTAACTTGTGCCCTGTTTAGTTTGCGTGGGTGACGCTGCCTCCTATTGTGTCAACAGCATCGGGTGACCACTCGGCGCATGTGTGGCGTTACCTGGTGCAGTTGCCGTTGACCCAGACCAGCATCGACTCAAATGTACGTCCCTGCACAGCTAGACGACAAGTGACATACACAATCTGGCCAAGTTCCCAGTGCCTCGGAGTTTTGGTTATGTTTACAGTGGTAACTGATTAACAGGCATAGGTCTAACTTGTCACATTTATACCTAGTAGAGCTGGGCAGCTATATGGAATCTTAGAAACTTAAATAAGTAAAAGTAAGCCGGATAAAATATTGAGATCTTTCTTTCCTCTTAGGTGACAATAAACATACGACTTTTTATTAATTATTACTTGTTTTTTTACAGTTTTGCTGTACCTATTTAAAATTAGTTATTTATTTATAGGGAGACTTTTGGTCAAACTGGTCTCTTAAATGTACAGCCCTTTGTCAGTCCACTGCTTATTTAACACCTCCTCCCACACTGTATTGGTAATGGCAGTTGTTTTCCCGTACTTCAGCATGTGGGTTGATAAAGCAGGGGTCTCAGAACGGGTTCGGATATCACTCACAACTGACGGTAGTCATGGCTAGCAATCAAACTCATGTCGCTTGGTTTGATAGCACATTGCACTAACTAAAACTGAAACTAGGTGAGGACCACTAAGCAATCTAGCTCTTATTCTTAGCTCTTTCGGTAAAGTCACGTTGAAGGGAAACAATAAAATAATAAAATATATATAAAACAATAAAAATTCTCACGACGTTTCGACCATAACACAAACGGTCGTCATCAGGTGTGTCGGTTTGCATATATTTATTTTTAAACGGTGTATTTATTTATTTATAAAAACGTCAGCGCCACGCGCAGCGATTTGGCAGTTTATTTAGAAGGACTAGTCCATCTATGTTCTGAAAAGAGGAGGGGGAAGACGAAAAATTAATGTATGCTGTCTGAAAGCCACTGTAAGCGTGAACAATCAATTAAGACCTGAAATGGTTTATCAAATCTTTCCAATGATTGCTAAGCCAGAATCCATCTTCTCGGTTGAAATTGTCTCTGTGCTTGTATATGTGGATAGCCTCATGAACGAATCTCTCATGGTAGCCAGATGGCTTACGAAGAACCTCTGTCTTGGAAAAGTCAATGTCATGTGAGCCTACTGAATTATAACAATGATCTGCCACAGCCGAAGTGTTGGTCCTACCGTGTTTAAGGTCTGCTTTGTGTTCACGAATGCGGTCCGAGACATGGCGTTTGGTTTCTCCAATGTAACTACTACCACAGATTTTGATTTAAAGCTTTCGTGACTGCAGTAATTCATATTCTTAGTTTTTTTCGGTAAAGTCACGTTGAAGGGAAACAACAACAACACACCTGAAGACGACCGTTTGAGTTATGGTCGAAACGTCGTGATAATTTTTTTTATTGTTTTATATATATTTTATTATTTTGTTGTTTCCCTTCAACGTGACTACCGAAAAAACTAAGAATATGTACTACCACAGAGGCAACTTAGTTTGTAGACACCAGGGTACTGTATGTCCGGAATCACATCTTTTACAGACGGAACCAGTTCACGGATTTTATGTAATGTGTTGAAACGGACCTGGATCTTGTGTTTATTCAAGATTTTGGAAATCTTTTTTGTGATCTCCGCAATGTAGGGTAAAGTGATGGTTTTGAAAGGCTCCTCAAGAGGGTCATCTGGCCACATGACCGGCCTGCTCTAGACCAATTCTTCGACCACATCAATTCCATACACCCAGCCATCAGATTTACCATGGAAGTCGAAAAAGATGGCAAGCTACCTTTTTTGGATGTCCTAATAAAAAAGAGACCTGATGGTTCAATGAGCCACTCTGTCTACAGGAAAGCTACCCATACGGATGCTTATCTGAAACCGGATTCCCACCACCATCCATCACAGAAGAATTCTCTCATCAACACTCTGTATCATAGAGCCCAATGCATATCCGACCAGGAACACATAGGCAGTGAACTCAAGCACGTACACCAAGCTCTTAAGGCTAATGGTTACTCCGACTATACAATCCGCAAAGCTATCACTCAAACCATGAAGAAGGACCCTCTTGAGGAGCCTTTCAAAACCATCACTTTACCCTACATTGCGGGGATCACAAAAAAGATCTCCAAATTCTTGAATAAACACAAGATCCAGGTCCGTTTCAACACATTACATAAAATCCGTGAACTGGTTCCGTCTGTAAAAGATGTGATTCCGGACATACAGTACCCTGGTGTCTACAAACTAAGTTGCCTCTGTGGTAGTAGTTACATTGGAGAAACCAAACGCCATGTCTCGGACCGCATTCGTGAACACAAAGCAGACCTTAAACACGGTAGGACCAACACTTCGGCTGTGGCAGATCATTGTTATAATTCAGTAGGCTCACATGACATTGACTTTTCCAAGACAGAGGTTCTTCGTAAGCCATCTGGCTACCATGAGAGATTCGTTCATGAGGCTATCCACATATACAAGCACAGAGACAATTTCAACCGAGAAGATGGATTCTGGCTTAGCAATCATTGGAAAGATTTGATAAACCATTTCAGGTCTTAATTGATTGTTCACGCTTACAGTGGCTTTCAGAAAGCATACATTAATTTTTCGTCTCCCCCCTCCTCTTTTCAGAACATAGATGGACTAGTCCTTCTAAATAAACTGCCAAATCGGTGCGCGTGGCGCTGACGTTTTTTAAATAAATAAATATACCGTTTGGAAATAAATAAATTAATGCAAACCGACACACCTGATGACGACCGTTTGTGTTATGGTCGAAACGTCGTGAGAATTTTTTATTAATTTATTATTTTATTGTTTCCCTTCAACGTGACTTTACCGAAAGAGCTAAGAATATGAATTACTGCAGTCACGGAAGCTTTAAATCAAAATTCAATCTAGCTCTCTTTCATAAGCGACCTGGCCATCACAAATGATCGCTCAACGAAGTGGCTTATCATCACGTGGAAATTTATAGCAGCCAAATACTTTAAACGCATGTTGATTCTAAATGTGGAGGGAAAAACTGGAGGACCCGGAGAAAAATTCACGCCCCCATAAGGAGAGGGACGTGCAAACTCCAAATATACAGGTGTCAAGAGTTGGGATCGAACCCACGACGTTCTCCATACCAGGCGAGGTAGTTAACATTTCACCACTGTGATGCCCCTAACTACCACTGATCCCCCAACGTTCTTTTATTTGGTAAAATTTTTGAAAAGCATTAATACAAATCCAAAACACTCTGCTTGGTTGTCGGCCTTGACGATGACCAGAAGATGACGAGGCCACTCCCCATGCGCTACGCGGCCCAGTCATTGCTCTGTCCCTCATTTCCACAGCCGTCGGGCGAAGACGAGGTTGACGCGTCGGACAAGGATGAGGCGGAGGGGTTGGACGCGGCGGAGGCGGCGAGCGAGGCGGCGCTGACGGTGCGCGCTCCCGTCACGGCGCTCAAGGGCCACCAGGGCGTCATCATCGCGGCCGACTGGCTCGTCGGGGGCAAGCAGCTCATCACCGCATCGTGGGACCGCACAGCCAACGTGTATGACGCAGAGACCTCCGAGCTGCTGCACTCGCTCACAGGTGGCTACTGCTGCGGGGGTGGGGGGGGTGGGGCCCTTGTGAGTGGTCCGAAATGTCTCCTGCCTGTGGTCTCTAAATGACACTTTCCGTGGGAAGAGAATGGTGGGTGGTAATGGGGATACATGAAGACAAAATGAGTGGGAATGCATGTATGTGTGTGTGCCATTGAGACATACACACCCAATGGCGGAGCCAGGATTTTCAGGTAGGTGGGGGGGGGCAACCCCTCCAGCAATGAAAAATTATAGGAGTTGTTAGTAAGTAAGGACTTGTCCCTTGATTTTTATTCGACGCGTGTGCTGCGATGGCGCAGCCATCGATCGAGGGTCGAATTTGAACCTTGTGTGATCGGCATCGCGCTCGCTGAAGGTGTTGATGCCTTCAGGGAAGTCGTGTACTGTATACGCAACTGCACACAATTCTGTGAGTCACTTATTGCCAATTATGGACTCAGACTATTGTCCTATCATCTCATAGAGTCCCTGGCACATAAATAATATGCTACACAGTGGCAGTGGGGGTTGCAAAATTCCGATTTATTACTAATAAACCCCAATGATCCGATCGAAATTAGGGATTTAGATTGGATCATTGAGGGGGCACGTGCCACCCCACCCCCCCCACTGGCTCCGCCAGTGTACACACCCACCCCTTTGTGTGCCGTGCTGGCCTAAATAGGGGCTCGCAAACAGCACTTGCCCCCCAACAGTCTCTATTTGTTTGTCAATATCTTCATATCGAGACGACCAAATGTTTAACCAACCTCTTCCTATGGTTCAACGTTTGGTCGTCTCCATAGGATACACACCTTCTCAAGACAAACTAATTTGTGAAAATGTTTTTGCGCCAACGTGGTGTGCCGTGGATTATGGGAGGAAATATCCGCGCTTCCAAAAAATAGCGATGCGTCCAAAATTTTGCTGATTGCTGGGAGAGTGCAGACTTGCGGCTGGATTAATCTGCAAAAAAAATAGCGGGTTATAAGGTTTAGAGGTTTTTTTTGAGATTCAAATGGTGCAAAACTTGCATCTGGGTCTGTCAAAATATTTTTTTGCATTTTTTTAGACTTCGTATACAAATATAAGTTAAATCAATATTATTTTTTACCAAATAAATCACATCAGTAGTGCCACTTCTACAGTTCACAGTTTGTGGTCAGCAAAGCATTTTCAATCTTGCATGGATTATGGGGGCAGTCACAAACAGCCAATAATTCGTGAATGACAGAAATGATAAATTATTGCAGTTGTGCTGTACTTGGTGTGACGCCTAAACGTAAGGACTGGAGAGCTAAATTTAACCGGCTGTGCATGGTGCTGGCTACAGCACACCTCTTACCATGTGGCAAGCCAGCATTAATAGGTGTTTGCTAACACCACTGCTTTCCAGCTGCTGGCATAAGGATAAACGGCGGCTGTTTTTGGTTTCTTTTGTGCGCAGGGCACGATCAGGAGCTGACGCACTGCAGCACCCACCCGGCCCAGCGCCTGGTGGTGACGTCCTCTCGCGACACCACCTTCCGCCTGTGGGACTTTCGTGATCCTTCCATCCACTCGGTCAACGTCTTCCAGGGCCACACCGAGTTAGTATTTGCCTCCCCTTCTCCATTGTGTAGTTTCTCCCACAGGCTGATTTGGCATTCAAAAGCGCTGTTGTGTAACAATATCATCCGGTGGCATTGTTTGGGTCTCTCTTATAAAAAATATTATAGATGTTTGTCTGTTGCACTTGAGTCAATCTCATCATTAGCCCAGTACATAGTGTGCGGTCTTTGTTATAAAACGTAGGTATTGGCCCTGAGCCGTAACCTGAATGAAGCACAATCGTTTTCGATGGATTTCTTTTGTGCAGTCACTGCTGACTGCGCAGAGACGATAAAACGCATCACATGTCAGAACCTTGTTCTTACAGTCCACATTCTAAGTGTTGTTTGGCTGCGCGCTCTGACAAGGCCCATCAGCCTTCCCGAGCCACCCGGCCACCCCTGTCTCTTAACATTGGCGCGCAGTGAATTGCGCCTGCTGAATGTATTTTAGAGATTGCTCATTGCCCCTAACGAGCGCATGTTTGAGCAATGCAGATCCATTTGCATCCCAAACTAGCATACTACCTGTGCGAGTCACGAGCTTAATCTGTTGGGTCTGCCTTTGCTGCTGATACGGGCCCTCCTTATAATGTATGTGTGTGCTTATACACACACACGCGAGAGTATTTTAATGATGTGCACCCTTGGAGTCACATTGCAAAATAGCGCTGGCACGTAACTTAATTTTTAGTTTTTCGAAAGAAAAATAAATAAACGGTTGCCTGGGTTTGGAAAATTGTGCCTTTTAATTATAGCAGATGTTACACTAAAGCACTTATATGGCGGTGCTTAGATTGGGTACGGCGCACTAATGGCGTGTGCTGTCGGTGCAGGTTCATTAAGTAAGACGTATTGACACTTCCCGGTATTCCTTGATGTGCACGTACGCGCCCCGGTACTGCCTCAGGTGCAGTCGCGGCAGTTGTTAAACTGGGTCATCCATCTGCCTCTGTCGCCAGGATAATGGCGTCGCGTTTATCGCGGATTCGTCATCGGCGCACCTTCGGAAGCGATAGACTGTTGTTATCCCTGTAAATTTGTCGAACGTGAAGATTTTGCCCCAGAACATGCTGCTCATGTCAGTAGATGTGTAGCCGCCTGTCGATTTTGTTGGCGCTCTTAGACCAGCTTCTCCATGGTGGGGTGAAATGTCTCTTGGAGATTACCCAACCTCTACTCCCACCATGAGTGGTCATTTAAATATGAAAACATCACTGGGCTCTTTCTAACACAACCTTCAGTTTAACACGTAGGCTTTTGCGACTCTGGATGTCTGCCTGATGATCCTGTTGTAATTACAGGCGAAACGTGGTATTCTCATTGTAAATGCTGTGGCTTTACTCTCCAACACACCAGTGTGCTGAATTAGTAACTAATTAGCATGTTTTGTTTAAAGGACAAACCATACTAATTGGCTGTGTTGGGTGGGGGCGGCTATAACAACACATTTATACATACGCGATCTAACCCCAAAACCTCTATTATGGAAAACACAACCTTGGTTTTTCAAATATTTTTATGTTTTATGGTCAATAATGAAGCTCCAGAGTGTTTTTGATTATAACGTAGCTGACGGAGAGACTCGTTGCGCGAGGACCTCAAACGTGTGACCGCGTTGTAGCAAGGTTACGTCATCCGTATATCATGTTCCACTCACCTCGCCTGCGTGCGTGCGTGTGTGCATGCGCAGCACCGTGACGTCGGCCGTGTTTGCATCGAGTGAGAACGTGGTGTCCGGCAGCGACGACCGCACCGTCAAGGTGTGGGACCTGAAGAACATGCGCTCGCCCATCGCCACCATCCGCACCGACTCGGCCGTCAACCGGCAAGTCTTTCTTTCACACCGGCAGACCACGGCGCCGCTTGGCGCGCGGGCATGATTGCGGTGGCTCTTTTAAAATCGAGCAGCCCATTGAGAAAAAAAGTCACAGGTTCGCATTCACCTATCGTCGCCAACTGTTTATTTTGTAGTTCGAGCAGAGAGAGAGAGAGAGAGAATGCGATATGTACACGGCGTTCCTCTGTGTATACGCGAGGCTATAGTGTGTAGCACAGGCCTCAAGAATCTACATTTAAAAGTATTAGAGACATTCGCCAAAGCGTTGGTCATACATTTCAATGCCTACCCAGTGCTTTATCTGCTAGGTCGGGCAGACTGCAGAGCCTTTCCTTCTTTCCTTAACGAACGCCACGCCAAGCAGCAGCAGCATCTTACTGGTACCCCCTCCCCCCCCACTGGTCCCTCCTCAGTCAGATATTCATATAATAATGGGATCACAATTACAAACAGAAATCATAGGACTCGCCCAAAATATTTGAATTCGGCAATATTTGTAAAACAGCTCCTGCATGCAAATTCCCTAAACTGTGCTGGGTTATCTTACAAAACGTTCGTTTAGATTATTTGGCTGCTATAAAATTCCACATAAGACACTTCATTGAGCAATAATTTGTGACCAGATCACTTCTGAAAAAGAGCTACATAGCTCAGTGGGCCTTACCTGGTAAAATAAAAAAAAAGTTTAGTTTATCCACTGGGTGGCAGGGTAGGATCAGGATTAGGAGCTTGGCCTTGGGTCTCAATTTCCAGAATTGTTTTTCTCCCGTTCCAGCCGACCACTGTGCTGTGATCATTGCCCACTCACAAGCTCTTGCTGAGTGTGGATGTTAATTTGGCCTCCTGCTGATCAGTTGATTATCGGAGTTAACAATGCCACAATGAACTGTGTGCACGAGTTGGCCATTGTGCGAGGGTTTTGTGTCATAGTTGAATAGACACGTAACAATCTCTCAGTTCATAGAACCCATTTAATTTGTCACGCTCACAAGGCATGCATTGAAATGTCCATATCAAAATCTACGGTTTACTTTGTAGGCAAATTATATGGAAATTATAGGCCAATGTAAAAGGCTAATGTAGCAGACAGAACTGTACAAATGAAATAGGAAAAGCAGGAAACAATACAAGCAAAAATAGAAGTATAACTAATGTATTAATGAATCGCATCGTGGCAATTCATCAAATTGCTGAGCAGGTAAGTTCTTAAATGTGCATACAAACTACAGTGTTCATTCCAATTGTCAGATTACAAGCAAAACCTCATCTGTTTGTCCTTAATGCCGTTGTGCTGTTTTTGAACAACAGAAAGATTACCCGTTTTTTGCAAAGAGTTGAACTTTTGTTGTGTTTGAAAAATGCCGGTTTTACGCACACTAACATGGGCACGCCAAAGCCACGTTCCATTAAAGCTCCACACAAGCACTAACATTGCACGAGTGTGCGAGGTGTTTTTGTTTTTCATTTGCAATAACATGGCATTTGTAAACACAACCAAGCACATAACTAATGTTGCTTTTATGTTTTGTATTTGAATGGTTCCGCACAAATAACACATTGCCGTATAGTATAGAAAGACACGTGAGCTTAGATTTGCCGCACCTCTGATTAGCGCGGTTGGCTATGTACGGTGCGAAGGAAGTGCAACATACACACATGCAGATGTTTGGATATGATGGACATACGTAGATGAGCTATGCTCATTCTGATAACATGAATAGAACCTTCACTTGATTGGCTGAGTAGCCTAATGGACGGTGCCCTTTTCTGTGCATCAGATTTCACGGATTTGATTTCACATATTAATTTCCTACATCAATACTTCAGTTTCTGCCAGAGAATGTACGAATGTTAGAGTAAAAAAACCGGTGGTGTCATTTTCACGATTGGGCCAGTGTATACTTGTGGTATATCTTAAATTCCATCTCGGACGTAAAATTGCAAAATAAAATGATTACTTATTTATGTTTTTCAGGCGTCTATAAAAAAATATATTTTCAGCAGGAAAGATCCTCAGTAAAGCAAGATGCAACCCAAAAGGCACATTTCTTGTCGATATGTACAAAAAATGTGTGTTTTGTGCTGTCCAAATTAATTTTGAATCTTCATTAATGAGATAAAATACTTGAACATCATAGTCAAGGCATGCTCTAGTCGTGTCACTGCAACGCTGCTCCCATACTTTTGTATAAGATATGACAAGAGCATACCTGACTGATTTTAAGTAAAATCTTGACTTAAAGCTTTCGTGACTGCAGGAATTCATATTCTTTGGGTCTTTCGGTAAAGTCACTTAGATAGGTTAAGAGACAATAACAAAAGACTACGACGTTTCGATCGCAACACAAGCGGTTGTAATCATCTTGACAAAAGACAAATAGTTGACTACTTTAGCCCACCGGTGTGCTGAAGAGTGGATCCACAACATTTTGCTCGAAGATGCTGGATGTAATTTCCAGCGAAACGTCGTACTCAAATTGTAAATGTTGTGGATCCACTCTTCAACACACCGGTGGGCTAAAGTAGTGAACTAATTGTCAACGTCGCACATTTTTTACCATTGGCCCTTTCCGGTGGGTTGGAGGGTTGCGACACATTTATAAATAATGCGATCTAACCCAAAAACTTTATCATGAATAATACTGGTCGCGAAAGCCTACGTGTTAAACTGAGCATACAATGGGTTAACAATAATGAAACCTAGACGTTACATTTGATTCATGAATCCAGCTGCGTGGAACAGCATTGCAGTGAAACTAGAGCATGCTTGTGTTGCCTGTCTACGTGACTTTACCGAAAAACCCAAATAATATGATTTTAAGTTCTTGTTTTCCCATTAATGAAGATGAAAACACGTTGAGATAGCTTGGAACTTATTGCATCTCTATTTAAATAAAGGACATCAGTTACTAAAAAAAAAAATCATAGTCCACTCGTAAATTTAAATCAAAAGGATATGTATATAAAAATACATATTGCATCTCACCAACCACACATTTGTCCAAATTTATTCTTACACAAGCTGTTTACTTATCGAAGACCATGTCGTCAAGTGGAAGTGACATTGAAATTAATTGAAGCAGCTTGTGCACACTGGTTATTGGCAGCACATTAGGGTCTTGTACAAACTGTGGTGACTGCAAACAGAGACACCCACACGTTATTTGCAGATTGCTTTCTGCTGTGGAGCGATTGAAATGTCAATAATTTAGTAGGGAGAAAAAAATGAAATGCACACAGGTATCTTTTGTTAATGCACTTCATCCGTACAGCATTTCAAAATGATCACAGTTATAGTTGACTCTTACACAATGATAACTCAATTATTGTTTACCGCAGACGACTGCTGTTAGCATTATAGGATTTGATCAACCGTTTCATGCCTCTTTTTTTTCGACGTTATTCAGTTTCCGTAGCTTATACGTCGTTTCCAAACACAGCTGTGCACAGGCCCTGGAAAGGTCGTCAATGAATTGGCATTTGTATAGTCTTTACTGGGTAAACACATGCATGGACAGAGGGGGGGGGCGGTCACTTACAAACTGGGTCATGGAGTCCCAGTGCAACTGGGACTCCATGACTGTTTGGGATGATACCTGTGTGCAGGAGCTAAGAGCACGTTGGAGTCGTGTAGAAAATTAATGGTTGCCTGAGGCGCTGGGATGATTAGTTGTCTTGAGTTATCTTTAGACTAGGGACATTGTGAATACACATGACAATGATATAATCAATCACAATTTTACTTAAACTGATTGAATGGGCATGAATCGTGGAGCAGCTGAAAATGTGTTACGTTGTGGTTACTTGAATTGAATGTCAGAATGGCTATGAATTTCAGCAAGATTTTTTTTATTAAGCTATATTTATTTCCTACGACGATTTTATCACCCAGAATGCACCCGTTCTCGGAAGATAAGCGGGGTTGAAACTGGATTAACTATTTACATGTGCAAACGGGTTGTTGTATGCTGCGGGGCTACATGATCAGCAGCAGAGGGCCGTGCTGCTAGAAAATATGTTGAACTGTACTTCTATGCTCCCACGTCTATGCTCCCCTTTCACCAACCGACACTGATCAACGTGATGACATATGGTCAAATAACCCCCATGATCTCTGCACAGCCCAAGCACAGCCATCGTCCAGCAACGAATTGACAAAGGGCTGTACATATATTGATCCTATTTTGTTTGCATCCATATTTATAAAATGTTGATGTCCCTCCTGTGGTCTGTTTAACCTGATCCCACCTCTCAGGCTCAGTGTGTCACCCACGCACAAGATCATTGCGCTTCCTCACGACAACAGGCACGTGCGTCTGTTTGACATGTCTGGCGTTCGCCTGGCTCGGTTGCCAAGGAGCAACCGGCAGGTAAGAGTAATAATAACGATGATGATCATTAGCGAGTGTGATTCACCTCTTATGATTTTACCCATCCCCTAATTGCCCTTTTCACTCCTTTTTTCACTTTTCACTTCGGGTGATTATGATGATGATGATCATTATCATCGACGTCGTCATTAGTGTTTTCACGTGTGCAATCAGCACGAGTTGCCTTCATTTCTTTGAATCTTTTGCGGCCTTCTCTTGTTGGCATTGTTAGATTTTATTCTGCCAGGTCTCCCCATCTGGTCCTCCTCGGTCTTTCTCGTCCATCTTCTGTGTGTCGGTTGCATTGCATCCATTTTCACAGTCACCTCTTTGCTGTATCCATCCTTAGTAGATTTGTTGAAGAACCCTGCTATTGGGAATATGCTCATGGCACATATAAGTGCACGCATGGTGGAAGTGTTAATTCACGTAGGTTATCAACGGTGCCGTCAAAACTAAAACTGTTGCCGTTGCTGTCACAGCTGAATAGTCTCTAATCAGAGGTGCGGCAGAGCCAACTGCTTTACGGTTCCCATGCCCTGTGATCACCTGAAGTAAAATTTAATTGAAAAGTGTGAAAGCAGGCTGGGTTAAGAGCCAGAGATGGTGGCTCTGGTTATGGGCTGGGATAGGGTCAGCTCTAGTGGTAGTTTGGCTTGTGTACGGTTAGGGATAGGATCTGGTTGGGTAGTTTCATGAAAGTTTGGGGTTAGGGTTAAGTGTTTGGTTAAAGGTACAGATGGGATTAATACCATAGTGTGAATAGGATTTTAGGTAGGCCGCTGACTCTATAGGTCAGCACTCGGAACTGTATGACCTGTGTCGTGTTAGGGCTAGGGTCTGGTTGGGTAGTGTCATTTGGGTTAGGGGTAGGGTTAGGGGCCATCCATTTAATCCACGCAGAAACGATCAAGGATTAATAATATGAACGTGTTTAAGCAAACAGTCCACCACCGGACTATCTTAACTAATTTGAAGGCCAATGTAGACAAATTATTATCGAGGCTTCACCCCCCCTCCCCCCCCCCGTTCCCTATGCGTACGTACTAAATGGATGGCCCCTTAGAGTACATCTGGTGTTTGGTATTTGTTCATAGGATTTGTTGTAGGACTATTGTTGTGGATGCAAAGCATAGTTAAGAGTTATGGGTGAGGATAGTTTCTGGTGCCCAACAGCACTGCTGGTGAATGTGATGCGCATGTGTGTGCTTGTGCGTGCAAGGTGTGCCATGTGTACGACGTGTTTTAAGTGAAGGAATAACTCGTCAAACAAGTTGGCGTTTTGTCTTACGTTTTTATCATCGTGATGAATATTTTATGTTCAGTTCTGGAGGCCGTTGAGACCAGTATCTCGCCATAGAGACTGGAACGAACAGGGTGCGTTTGTGCAAATTTAAAATAACGATTGCAACATTTTAAAATATTGCAAATCATAAACAAGTGTGGAAAATATTCCGATAATATGGGGCAATCGAAGTAATTTATTGTCAAGCGAAAAGTGTTGTGTAAGATTTAAAAGTGGAAAGACGTAATTAATTTGTATGTTCTAAATCTAAATCGTTTGGGTAAACAGCATTATGAGTGCGATTCCCAGCGTAGCCAGCAGGGGATATAATAATCACTGGCAGTGTTTTTTTTCTGAACTGTAAAAGAATCCGGATTTCTCACAGCCACAGATTTTGCACATTTTTGAATTTCTCCCGAAGTAAAGCAATGACCTCGACTTATACACATGCAAGGTGTTCTTAAGCACCATGTACTTATACCGTGTGGCTTCTAAATGTATGATTAGGCGCGATTAGAGCCGTACTCTTCACATTTTGCCGTGTCTTAATTATTGAGCAGCTGCATGCTTTTAACAAGCGGCAGGTCACAGCCCTGGCCTGCGCGTAACCAATAGATGGTCTGTTAATGACACCAACCAGAGTGCTGAGAAGGCATTTAGTCTGCTCGTCTCACTTGAAAATAACTCGCTTTGTGTCTTGTGTCAAAATGAAAATTCTGGGAAAGGCTTCTCGTGTTACCGTTGGTGCTTTGTGCTTACAGCAGTGCAGTCGTGGTGGATGTGTGTGTGGGGGGGGGGGGGGTGATATTGTGGAATAAAGCTGTAGAGTAGTGAACGGCGTCAGACTGGCAGGACTCATGTTCACCGTCACACGGACACAGCGGCATGCCCCTGCACGTGGCAGTGTGACCACTGCTATTTGAAAAACAAAACCCGGCAATTAACGGCTGCTTGATTGTCACATTTTGGCAGCACAGCTTTCATAGTTTCACTTGCAACCCACACTGCTCAAAGCCCATCCTTGCCTGCAAATGAAAACTTACGTAGACAGGGTTTCATATCCTTCCCCACTCCAATTAATGCCTCATCCCCATGGCAAGTGTAGTGGGCAAAAACACAGACTGGGTTGACCCTTGACCAATGAAGTAAGTAACTGCCACTGATGGTTTAAAGAAGGGGTGTACAACCTGCAGGGTGTGGCATGTTTTTTTTTAATAACCCGGCGAGCACCACGGGTACATGATCGCTGAGCAAAGTCTGTTGGGGCTGTTCACCGCAAACAGGATATCGTGATGTCCGGCTTATGAACGTGACAGCCCGTGGGAGCTAGGAGATTCCCAATTCCAGTGTGGTTCATGCTTGGAAAAGGTTGCACACCCAATGGTTTAAAGTGTGAGGATGCATCGTTTTACCACCTTTTTCTCTTACCCTGGCAATGAGTATTGAGTGCGTGAGCAAGCGGTTGACTGGCTAAGAAGTTGCAATTATGATAAGGCTTCATGTGACTTTATGAAAATTGGCTGAAGCGCAGACTCTTTGTAAATCCCTCACGAGTGGAACCACGGTCAATTTCCTAGCGACCGAGATGCATTTGTGCTAAACTTGTTGCCAGCAGTAAGCCACCTGCCATTTTAGGTAGCCAAATGGAATGCAAACAACAACAAAAAAAAATATTTTGGCAGTATGGGTGTGGACACAGGGCACACTTTTCATAAGCATACACACTGCCTGGTAAACCACTCTGTAAGACTGGGCAGAGCATGAAACTGGTTCACACACCAGTGAATGGCAGGATTGGCTTTGATGCAAATGAAATCCTCCGGCGTCGTAGCTTGTCAGTGCTACAGCTTTGTAGCGTCTGTGTGCCCGTTTTTTGCCCTGAATGTTAAAGTTTATTCCCCCCCCCCCCCCAACCTGTGCAGGGCCATCGTCGAATGGTTTGCAGCGCCGTGTGGAGTGAGGAGAACAGCACCTGCAATCTGTTCACCTGTGGCTTTGACCGGCAAGCACTGGGCTGGAACATCAACACCACTGCCCTGATTCAAGAGAAAAAGGCTCCGTAGCATCAACCGCACACCGATAGAGGCAGCCTCTTCTGTCTTAGTTTATTAACGGTTGTTGCAATGGCATCCAGTTTATTTGTGGAGATGAGGTTTTTTTTGCGCTTACTGCACATTTTCCATCGTCTTTAAATGTGGGTCCTTGTGAGTGTTGAATCGCATCATAAAACGCCGTTGGGAAAAGTATAATTTCTTCAAAGAAAATCACGCTCGGAACTTGGGTCGCATTAAAATTAACAGAAGTGCACAAGTCAGGGGCCGTTAATTTAAGCCGCATACAAACTTAACTTTAAAGCAGTTGTAATTAGCATATAGAGCAGTGTGGCATACTAGCTGGTGTCTGCATTACTGATGAGGCAGTGCCCCTTAGATAATTTGCCCACGTTCTGTGTGTCCAGACCGCCCGTGTAGTTACCAGTACATTTCCATAAACTCTCTTATTGATGCCGTATATTTAAGGCGGAACACCCACACACCACATATGCGCGAGTCCACAATACATTTGACTAATTCGGTACATATTGCAATGTGGTGGTATCATTTTAACACATTTAAGTAAAAAAAACTGCTCATTTTAGTGAACATCTTGCAGCAATTAAAACGGAGAGAGCAACAACTGTTGCATCGAATTAGGTGCAGTTCACCCAATCGTCAAAAAAAAATCTAACCTAACTGGCTTTATTGGCCCAACTGGCTGCAAATCCAACCTTCGCCAAATAATGGATGCACCCAATGGGTTCTCTTTCACTCAAAGGCAAGTTGTTGAACGCTTACCGCCAAGCTGGCAATCCATCTCCTTGTGAGTCCACGTGGGCTGTCTTTCACTTCACATTTTCGTCACGGCAGCACGGGCTTCACTAATTGTCACTCCACTGGGATCCGTTGGGCCGCGCGTGTGCACTCGTGGGCATCCGACCAGACAACCAAACCTCCTCTCATCCCACCCCACCCCGGGGAAGCGCACCTATGGCACACAGGCCGAGGAGCATTGATTGAACCGCATCTATCTCATCCCGATGTGGCATCGCTACGGTGGTGATCACACACGGGGCCAGAACTTAAAGCACGGTGAAGTGCAGCACATTTTGAAAGCTGCGGTGCGAGAGACTCGATTCTGTGAAGTGAGTGGTTCGGCTTGGAGCAATTCATCAGTCATTTTTGAACACCCGCGATAAAACGCAAAGAAATGGGCGTGGAATTCCGACTAACGTTTCTGCTAATAATATGCGAACGTTACCTTCAGGTTATTATCATGCTCGTTTACCCATAGGGGCAATTGAGGCATATGATTTTTGAATTGTGACTGTTCATTGAATAGCTTCGGGGGTGGGGGAGGGCACGGGACAGGGCAAGGTGTGGATTTAATTGTTTGAAAAATATGTAACAAGTATCATCGGCCATCAAATATTTGGTGTGTGTGCAAACTCTTCACAGACACACACGGACTTGTTTCTTGGGAAGTCCGATGATATCTCATCCCCTACGCTCATCTTAATCCACCTTTCATGGCAAATCTCTCATCGGAAGGTCTTGCAGAAGCGGACTATTTACTCTACTGTTTATATTCAAAGATTTCATACGTTATTGGGTGGGCAAGCCTGTAAGTCACTTGTTCAATATTGGTTGAAAACATCACGTTTGTTATTTTCTCTAATCTTAAATACTTTATGATGTATTATAAAGTATTTAATAATATATAATAAAGTAATGTCAAGTGAGATATTACCATCCAGTTACAAGCTGAATTTCAAATCTATTCTGAAAGGAGAATTGCCTTCCGTAGTCACATTTTTCAGGATGGCAGATGGGTATTTAATTTTCAGAAATTAATTTTTCTAAAGCACAGACACTTGCTACTATGGTGTTGCAATTGTGGAAACGCGAGCATTTACTGTCTCGGTAAGAATAGCGTTGCATTCGATGTAGTGGTAACGCGTTGGCCAATGTTCTGTCGTAAAATTCACTTGCAGCACTTCGTGGATTTGTTCTTTTCAAGTGGGATTTCTATTTTAAGTGCCGTTATCGGAGCACATCTCGGCCACATATCAGCGCAATATAAACATTATCCATGCTCTTAATTGAAGAGTATAATGTAAACAAATGAAGGTAGTATTCGGTTAACAAAAAATGCATTGTTAAAGAATTCATCATTGCCGTTTGCTCATGACATAAAAATAAACCAGTTTAGTGCAACAGTTTAGAACATTTTAGACGATAAACTTGTTGAGTTCATATTCTTTGGGTCTTTCGGTAAATTCATGTAGAAAAAAATATATCACGTTTCGATCACTACACAAGCATTCTAAACGTCTGACGATTGCTTGTGTTGCAATCGAAACGACGTGATCTTTTTTCTATCTACGTGGCTTTACCGAAAGACCCAAAGAATATGAATTCCTGCAGGCAAGAAAGCTTTCAATGAAGATTTAAACTTCTTGAGGTTTGGTTATTTTTGTGATGTTTTGATAGTTCTATTGTACATCCCATATAGTGAATGCATTGAGCATGCTATTCCACCAACTGCAGGAAGACGGGGTTGTGTGGCTGTTTAAGCTGGTGAACGAGTCGGAATATATATAATGGCGCGTGCTATCGCATGCACACAACGCAAAGTTTATGTACAAAGTAGCATTAATATTTATTCGCAAGTGTGGCGGCTTGCCAATAGTTGAATAAGATATAACTATATCACCAAGGTTGTCCCTGCTCGTGTTTACGCGCCCGCATTAAAGGTGGGTTGGGGGGGGGGGAGTCTGGTTTGGATGCATGGGGTTGGTTATGCATCCCGTGACCTGTTGCGATAACAATGTGATGTCCCCTTTGAATGTGCGATTGCATCCGTCTCCTTATGCATCACTGGCCCTCTGCATTTTACATTGAATGTTATCCTCTTGCACACCGACGTGAAGGATTAAGCGCCCCTCGTGTGGCAGTTCGGCACCGTTTTTACACATGGGGAAAAAGCAAATCTGATCCACAATACGCTTTAAAATGAGCAGAAATGGGAAGAGGGAACGACATTGAAAAATCTTCCATTTGTACTCAATGTCTCCACAGCTGTTACATGTACATAGAGCTTACCTTTAAACACCGATCCATGCCGACATGACAAATAAGCCGCATCCTTTCGAGGGTAGTTGCCGATGAAGATGAGCTTGTGGGCAGGGCAGCTTTGGGTAAGTGTTTGGCTTAATTCTGTAAATATTAAACTGCGTTGGTGTCAATGTTTTTGCGATGCTAATTTCCTCGGGACTTAATCGAATGAGGTTGGTGGCAAGAAACCCTGCTTGTTTGTGTACCAACTCCCGCAAGAAAAAGGTGCTGCATCACGTCTCCAAAAACCAATGCTGTTCATTAGATACTACCATGCTTAAGTGTAAAATTATTACGAGTAAAGGTCCTTTGTCACTATAGTGTTTAGCCTTGCAAGTGTGTATTGCGTGGGAGTTGTGTGTGCAGCTTAACTATACACGTTTATTTTTACGGCGATGTAAATTAAGATTAATGGAGCCACCCATTTCTCCAGCACGGAATGGACATCCGCCCAGAAAGCACCACCACCACCACTTAGTGTCTTTAGCGGATCCTGTTTGCCGTTCATTAATGGGCAAAGCGAGCAAGCGCTGTGTGCCTGTCCCGATTAAGAGCACTTCGCGTCCCCCCCCCACTACCTTGGCCAATTAAAGGATAATCGAATTGCCTTTGCGCGCGCGCGCCCCATGGAAAGTGACGACGCGTTTTGTGCGAACGCGTTGGGCGCCAGCATTGATCGCGTAATATATATCTATCCCGCGTGCCGTTCGCTGTGAAGCTACAAGTAATTTTACAATGCATGCTTATTGTGGAGCACTTTATGCGTGCGAGAGAGCCTTGTGGCCCAGTGGTGTTGAGGTGACTGCTTTGGTTGGACTGAAGAAGAGACGGAACGAAAATGCACGGACGCTGCATTTGGTTGTAAAGGACTTGTATTTCTACCAAACCAATAAAACATTGAATGAGTTGCCCATGGTTCAGATCTGCAAGCCCTAACGGTAGCCTGTACATTGAGGACTTAAATTGGTTTTGAATTACAAAGCATGCCGACTACTGTGGGAGGATTCCAATACAACAGCAACATGTTTCACGTCTTCAAACATACCAGCTATTATCAATTTAATTAAATAGCAGCACCAAAAGGCATCGTAATATAGGAAATTAGCTCAGGGGTATTTGATGAAATTTCCTCTTTAAATATAATGCAGTAAAACTTTAAACAAATACAACGCATTTAATGGATTACAGTGAAAGTAAACGCGAGGAAAAAGTTTGACCCAGCGGGCATTTGACCGACTTGCATTCTTTTTCACAGGTGCATTTATTATTCCCTTTCATTCAAAGCAAAACGAGATTCCATATGTTCTGTAAAGCAAGGACTCATTATGCAGCAATATACATCAAATATGTACAATGTGTAAAACATCCTTGCTTTCGAAAGAAAGGGGAATACTTAAAAGATCCATCTTACAGAGGATTAGCTTTCGGGAGTACATAATTATTTGGACAATATTTATAATCTCGGGCAGTGCTGCAGAGTTTTCTGAACGCTTAATATTCACGAATACGGTCAACATTTAAATTTCCAGTTCATTTGTTCACAGTTAAAATTTAACGAACGTTAAAATCTTCCAATATTCAATATACTTGGTATGGGTTTTATATATACACAAACGTAGTGTACCTTAGATCGGCCATCATTATAAAGGAGCTCAGAAAACCACAGTATGATGGGCAGAGTGCAATTCCATATACCTATGTCACACGTACAGATAAGTTTCACTTCACCTTTTGCGTTTTAACACTTCCAAAACGGGTAATTTTCATTGGTTCAGTGCGATTACGAATAAGAGGAGGGCTATTGTTGCCAAGTTGGCACACAATGCACTAAAAAACAATCGGCCATCAACATTAAAACTTTTAATTTGGGAGGTGAGTTCTATTTATGGACAAGTGAAGGGCCAGTGGCCACTAATTGCCAACCACGAACTGCTGTGGAATTGAAATTAATTTCAAGCAGCTGAGATTGTCTCCTGTCGCCTCATTGGACACAGCCAAGCACGGCTGGGGAGCAAACGTTACGCGAATTGCAAGCAGGGCTAAAAGATGAGACATTTAAATACCACCTATTTAATCTCTTCCCCCTACGTACATATCGCATAACTGGTGCAACTTACAGCCCTTTTCATTGGGCCCAAACCCTGATCATCCTCATGGCTTTTGAGTTCTGAACAAACAGGATAAAACAAAAGGTTACATTTTCAGAGGAATTTGGCTATGTTGCTCGCTTTGGGACTCGCACAACGTAGGCGAGAGACCAGCTTGGTGAACGGGTGCTGGTGAACGGGCGCTGGTGAGGGTGTGGGCTGTACCCCAGACTAGAGGTTCCACCTTGTTTTTTTCTTCCAGTTTTGTCCTCTTGTTGAGGTTGCTGCTCAGGGAAATCTGGAAGTCTTCCCGAGGGAATTAAAAGTTATCGTCACTTTCAGTTTGTTTTGCCATTGCACGATAATGTACCCACTCAAAACAAAGCAGTCAAATAAGTCATCCCCCTCTTATGGAATGGTGAGGTATTATTCTACCCGTGATAGGTCTCGTTTTTTTGTGTATCTCGGAGGTGGCAACCCGAACCAACACCCCAACAGGAGCAACAAGGAGCAATCGGCTGCCATGTAACGAAGCCACTGGCCATGACCAAGAGAGCCACGCCGCTAGCAAACAAGCGCAAGCTCCTGCGCACATCAGCCACTTGGTTTTCCTCGTCAAAAAGGTGAGCAATAGGGATTTAATGCACGCCCGTGCTCTCTTTACACACCTTAAAATGACGGAACAAGATCATTGTATTTGTGAGTGCCAGTCTTTGGGGCAGAAACGGGCATTAGGGTAGTGGGGTAAAGGAATGTGGTTCAAGGGAGAAACTCGGAACGCACACGCTCACATTTTTTTTTTACAAAAAGGTACATTTTAAAAAAGCAGGAGCTGTTCAAATGACTAAACTTAAAGGTGACGATTAAAAATCTACATTGAGCACAGGTGAAAAAGTATTTCCATATTGGGCTAAACGAAAAGTTGAAGTGACACCCACGTACAGTGAGGGAAAAAATATTTGATCCCCTGCTGATTTTGTACGTTTGCCCACTGACAAATGATCAGTCTATAATTTTAATGGTAGGTTTATTTGAACAGTGAGAGACAGAATAACAACAAAATCCAGAAAAACGCATGTAAAAAATGTTATAAATTGATTTGCATTTTAATGAGGGAAATAAGTATTTGACCCCCTCTCAATCAGAAAGATTTCTGGCTCCCAGGTGTCTTATACAGGTAACGAGCTGAGATTAGGAGCACACTCTTAAAGGGAGTGCTAATCTCAGCTTACCTGTATAAGACACCTGTCCACAGAAGCAATCAATCCATCAGATTCCAAACTCTCCACCATGGCCAAGACCAAAGAGCTCTCCAAGGATGTCAGGGACAAGATTGTAGACCTACACAAGGCTGGAATGGGCTACAAGACCATTACCAAGCAGCTTGGTGAGAAGGTGACAACAGTTGGTGCAATTATTCGCAAATGGAAGAAACAAAAGAACTGTAAATCTCCCTCGGCCTGGGGCTCCATGCAAGATCTCACCTCGTGGAGTTGCAATGATCATGAGAACGATGAGGAATCAGCCCAGAACTACACGGGAGGATCTTGTCAATGATCTCAAGGCAACTGGGACCATTCACCAAGAAAACAATTGGTAACACACTACGCCATATTCTTGGTTCTTTTGGTAAAGTCACGTAGAAGGGAAACAAAATAAAAAAAAGATAAAACAAAATTCTCACGACGTTTCGACTGCAACACAAGCAATCATCATCAGGTGTGAAAACCACAGCAAGAAAATTTGCTGTTTCCCTTCTACGTGACTTTACCGAAAAAACCAAGTATATGAATCCCTGCAGTCATGAAAGCTTTAAATCAACACACTACACCGCGAAGGACTGAAATCTTGCAGCACCCGCAAGGTCCCCCTGCTCAAGAAAGCACATATACATGCCCGTCTGAAGTTTGCTAATGAACATCTGAATGATTCAGAGGACAACTGGGTGAAAGTGTTGTGGTCAGATGAGACCAAAATGGAGCTCTTTGGCATCAACTCAACTCTCCGTGTTTGGAGGAGGAGGAATGCTGCCGATGACCCCAAGAACACCATCCCCACCGTCAAACATGGAGGTGGAAACATTATGCTTGGGGGGTGTTTTTCTGCTAAGGGGACAGGACAACTTCACCGCATCAAAGAGACGATGGACGGGGCCATGTACCGTCAAATCTTGGGTGAGAACCTCCTTCCCTCAGCCAGGGCATTGAAAATAGGTCGTGGATGGGTATTCCAGCATCACAATGACCCAAAACACACGGCCAAGGCAACAAAGGAGTGGCTCAAGAAGAAGCACATTAAGGTCCTGGAGTAGCCTAGCCAGTCTCCAGATCTTAATCCCATACAAAATCTGTGGAGGGAGTTGAAGATTCGAGTTGCCAAACGTCAGCCTCAAAACCTTAATGACTTGGAGAAGATCTGCAAAGAGGAGTGGGACAAAATCCCTCCTGAGATGTGTGCAAACATGGTGGCCAACTACAAGAAACGTCTGACCTCTGTGATTGCCAACAAGGGTTCTGCCACCAAGTACTAAGTCATGTTTTGCAGAGGGGTCAAATACTTATTTCCCTCATTAAAATGCAAATCAATTTATAACATTTTTGACATGCGTTTTTCTGGATTGTGTTGTTGTTATTCTGTCTCTCACTGTTCAAAAAAACCTACCATTAAAATTATAGACTGATCATTTCTTTGTCAGTGGGCAAACGTACAAAATCAGCAGGGGATCAAATACTTTTTTCCCTCACTGTACATATACATTAATTCCAACATCTCTGCACACCTACTAATTATGCAGGGTATCTCTACCACATAAAATCAAACACAGCGTATAAAATGTATGAACAGATGCCACAAAACTGCATTGCAACATTTTGGTGGCAATGCTGTAAAATTGAATGATTTTTTCTTAAAATTGTATTATTATTTAAACACCCTCTTCTCTTGCCCGCCCCATATATCCTTCACCCCCCTCTACCGAGGGCTCCTCACTTCCCCTCGGTTCTGCTTTTGTTCCCTCGACAATACACTTCATTCTGGAGGTGCCACCAGCCAGACTCACACCGCGACAGTAAACTGGTCTTGCTCAATGGGTTTTTTGATCCAGGCTCCCAGTCCTGCTCCCTGGAAGCTGAGGTCAAGCTGCTGCTTGGCCAGCTGATAATCGCCGACTTCCAGCTTGGCCATACTGTACAGCGTGGGGCGTTCCGGCTTCAGAGGTACGCGGCTTTTTAGCTGCACAGGTAAAAAGTAAATAAGAATACAAACAATAATAATTGGCAGCAGCAAGCAGCTACACCGGCTGCATCATCATCAGCAAGAAGAATATCCACTGAAACAATGTATCTGCTTCCTTCAGTATCAAAGCAGCAGTATCAGCCAGTGGAGTAGCTTTTGAGCATGCAGGCAGGGCAACTGCACCAAGCTTCATGAGGGGTGGGGGGGGGGCAGATGGAAAGGGGCGGAGGGGGGGCATGTCAAATCTTGCACTCGGGCCCATGCCAACCACACTAAGCGACTGACATCAGCAGAATTATATCATCAATGGCACAATCATTATCAGCATTATCAGCAAGAGCAGTATTGATGCTGTCAACCGGCTGCTCTAAAAAGGCCGTCACGCTGTCATTAGTGTCCACCTCACCTCACACAGCACGCCGGTAACTCTTGGCCGAAATTACTGGGTCGACTTAATAATTTGAACAAACTCTTTCAGTCCGTATCCAGTGGAAAGATTGCGAGTCACGAAGCTATTCTGTCGGCGTGGTTAACATGAATGCAGAAGTGACATTTTAAGCATATTTAAGTTCACAATGTTAAGCAAGGAGAATATGGGCATTATATATTTTATGACTTCTACCAAGGCCAAAATGAAGGAATTTCCTCTAAGGACATGTTTATCCATTTCTGTTTTAAGCGGCCAATTAAAAAGCATGTTTTTGAAGTGTAAAAATATCAGCGCTCGCAGATGTACATAAATCATCATGGCGTGAGGGGGGGGGGGGATTTAATAACCTCCAGGGAAATGGGAATAGCAATCCACACTGTCATTCACGAGCCGCTGATTGGAAAATGCCCAGTGATCACGGCGAGGTTTTTGGGGGAAATCCTTCCTCTCTGGCTCTAATTGCACTCGGGGCACCACGAGTAGTAATAACGACACAAATAGAGCAGCGGGCTTTAAAAACACCCCCCCCCCCCACTGTTGATAAACTACTGTGGTCAATGTCAGCCTAACCTTGAAGGAGTGGCCACACCCCCAGCCATCGTGGCAACCAATCATCAGTGACAGAGCTTGTACCATCACTCACACGGAGCAGGGGGGGGGGGATACAATCCCGAGAAAGGGTGACCTCTTTAAAGAGTTAGGGACGGGCAAGCGTGCGGGCGCCCCGCTAGAACTAATGGAACAGTCCCGGCTATTGTTGGCAGTGCGTGATGAAATGGAATACCTCCTATGCAGAGCAATCCCTAAGACCATTGAATTGGTAATGAAAGTTGGTGGAAAAATTGAGTTCATGACCAAAAACCAATTTTAACATCGGGCTCCTAACACAAAAGGCAGCGCTGTGAAATTAAGTGCTCAGGTGTTATGTATGATGGTACCGTTAATGGCATTAAGAGACGGTGCATTAAGTGTTAATATATTAGATATTTACATATATCTGTGCGCTCTGAAGTGTTTGTAATGCATGCTGATGTGTTAAATGCCTTAATTGTTAAAGCATTAAGTGTTCGTGATATACTAGTATTAAGTGAAAATATATTGATGGCATACCAAGTGTTGACATATCAAATGTTAATTAATATCAAGTGTTAAAGGATTAGGTGTTCGCGTATTGAATGCGACAGTGGTAGTGATGTATGAAACTGTAATGCATTAAACATGTATTCTTTAAGTGGTAATGCATGGATCAGCAATGTGGTAATGGTTAAACTATTCGCACTAATTTTATTCAGTGATACTTTACACAAGTGTCTTAAAGGAACAAAAAGGGTCCTTAGGTGAATGTCAAGTATTTATTTACTTATTTCCCTCATTAAAATGCAAATCAATTTATAACATTTTTGACATGCGTTTTTCTGTATTTTGTTGTTGTTATTCTGTCTCTCACTGTTCAAATAAACCTACCATTAAAATTATAGACTGATCATTTGTCAGTGGGCAAACGTACAAAATCAGCAGGGGATCAAATACTTTTTTCCCTCATTGTATAAACATCAAGCCTCTGCGATTCATGTTTGGGGAAAAAATTATATAATAACTCCGACACTTACACACCAGGTCTGGCACTGATGTGGAAAAATGCATAAAATTATTAAAGGCATGAATGAATTAATTGATTTAACCGTTAATGTATTATGTGTGGAGTGTCAGTGCATTAGCCATTCCCATTCAAGCCAGAAGCAGCTGCATTAAAAGCTTCACAAAGCTAAAAAAAAGTATCAAAATTCAAAGCCACACACAGCCCAGGCACGCCCTTTTTTCAATTCCACCTGACCCAGCTAATGAGCAAACTCTGCAATAAAATAGAATTAACACTTAATTAGGCTCGCGTTTAGAACGCGACGAATGCCTGCGCAACGCGGCACTTCAAGAGTTTTGCTATCTTATCGAGCTGTGGGGTAAAGCAGCCACCGATTTTGTGTGCCCGCTCATTAATGCGCGTGGGAAGTGAGGCGCGCCCGAATCAAAAGCACTGGCTGGTGCTGCACAAAAGGCCCCTCTTAGTAATTGGGTTTCGGGGAATGAGGCGCCCCTTTCTTGGGTATCAAAGTCACAGCGACACCGAGTCGAACTTTTACGTTTTTCATCTCCCGGAAACTTATTAAACATCTGAAACAAGAGGCTGGGGGGGGGGGGGTACACGAGTCATGATCGTGGCCGAGGAAGAAGGCTCTATCTGCATGCAATTAGCCCCACAATCCCAGAGCAAAGGAGAAAGAGAGGGGACGAGGCAAGACAGCGTGGCACACACCAATCCTGCGGCACACAACTTTTAAAGGCAGTAAAGGGTATTTCTGAACTTAGCGCGATGGCTGGCATCGCTTCGTACGCCCGCGTTTATTTCACGCTGACGCGGGGCGGACTTAAAAGCGCGGCGCGCATGTGGTGCGGCTAACGACACAAGTAATAAGCCGAGTTAACCGGGCTAAAATCAAATTCTACCTGCGTTGAGGTCTGTGTCGTTCCCAGTGGCACTCATTTTTTAAGTTGTGGTCTCATTGCAGTGAAGCTCAAAGCCAATTCAGCCCAGGTTTAATTGTAGTCGAAGGAAGTCGAAAATTTCAGCCTAATTTTTGGAAGTCTGGGTGTGTTTTAGTCAGGGTATACGTTTAGTTGTTGCTCACTTCAGTCTGCACGAAAGGAATTACAAGAATGAAAACTTGTACCGCACTACACCACCAAATGCACACAGTAACGTGCAACTAATACATTGATAGACATGCAGCAATGCACAAGCAAAACATACTATATATGCAAAATAAAAAAGTGAAAACATAAACACACAAGAACACACACGCATGCATAAGCCGTTTAGCGGTTTCAAACATGCACACACGTGCACTGGGAGCATTATGGCGAGAACCATGCCAAGCCACATAGTATCATCAATGCAAAATTTGGTACACCAAAGCTACTTATTTTAGGTCAAGTTGACCTAGGGGAGGCAGAGGCCAGGTTGGTTCTGACTTGAATTGTCACTGGTGGTATGCACCACGGGCTAGCAAACGGACCCACATCACCGAGTTTGTGGTGCAGCGCCTGTGTCGGCTGCCGGGGCAAGTCCAATTTTACGAGCATCTGTCAAGGCCGGAACGGCACCCGGCAGGGGTGATGTGGCCAGCACCACTAATAGCCAGCCGCCTTTGTCCTCCCCCAGTGCGAATGTTTAAAAACTGCCCAAGACACTCATTTAAGGTCCGTGTCAACCTAGGGGATGGGGGGGGGGCAGGATCGGTTCGACATCACCAGCAATTAACGTTGCCCGTGGCCAGAAATCAGTCTCAGGTCGCCGGGTTCATGGCACGGTGTGCTCACCAACACACTGCCACACCCCCCAATAAGATCAATAGCTGCCGTTTGCCACTAAGTGGGGTTGACATCACCAGGGCGCTTGTGCCAGGCTACGTAACAGCCTCCCGTATCCCCAAAAAGACAGACCACCCGTATGACTGTTGGGGCAAGTGCTGTTAGTGAGCACCTATGAAGGCTGGCACTGTACAGGAGGGGGTGGGTGGCCAGCACCACGTCCGACCGCCTTTGTCTCCCCAGTGGCGATGGTTACACACCACACCAGGTACTCATTTGAGGCCGAGTCGACCTAGCAGAGGCCCAGGACCGGTTCAGATAAATCGTCGCTGGTGTTGTCCGTGGGCGGGAATAGAACTATGGTCATGGCCGGGTTCGTAGCGCAAGTGCGCTAACCGCTACACCACCGCTTTCCACGCGTACAAGCGCACGCACGTGAGCCCACCTTGCCATAGAGCCGCACCCATCGGGTGAAGAAGGCGTTCTTGGCGAGGCGAGAGGGCCGCCCCGTGTCGTCCTTGCCCGTGGTGGCATTGACCACCTCCAGGCTGTGGTCGCCCACCGTCCAGTTCACGCTGAAGCTGGGCGCCTTGCCCGGCTGTCGTGACTCAGCGTTGCTGATTCCTGCCCCAAAAACAAACAAAAAAAGATGCGATGGTACACGGCCCGGTTGGAATGCGCAGCCACCCACGCCGGAGCCGGTCAACTACCTTCACAAGTGGAAAATCGAAGGAGGCCCCCCCACCCCCCAGTGTGACCACGGCAGATCCTGGCCAAACTGCGGGGGGGCGTGCGATGTGAGCCTGCTGCTAACTTCGCAAATTCAACGGAGGCAGCAGCAGTAATTAATTCAGCCTCGCCTAAAACCAGATATAGATCTCTGGGCTACTGTTCACGAATCCAAGAGAGGCAAGGGGATTCCTGCCCACATGAGCAGAATGTAGAGGGAGAGAGTGCAGGATACGTTTGGAAATAGGACAGAATAAAAATAAAGAAATCTGCATAAACAATATCTATATCGATTCGACTTGACATTTGTGAGGACCCCAGCATGAGTGTAGTGTTGTACGTGGCACCCACTTAAGAAAGATGTCTACGTGTCTACTCATAATCACGCCCCCTCCTTTCCGAGTGTGGCATCGAATGGAGAAAATCTGACGTACGGAAAGAGTAACGAGCAAGTCGGAGAACAATCCAGAAAAGGAGAAAGGGTGTGAACTGGTGCAACATTGCCAGAGGCGAGAAGCTTGACGAAGTCAATTCTGTAAGGATGTTTGAAGAGAGACAATAAAAAAAAAATGCCTGACATGAAAAAATTGACGACTCGAAAGAAGCAAGGGGGAGGGGCACTAAAAAGGGTGAAATGAAGATGCTCAAGATCAGCCTGGATGGAGAACGCTTGAGCTCAAGACATAACATTGGGCAAAGGACGAAAAGATTAAAAGATTAACTTGATTCCTTCATAATTTAACACAGCCTCATGGGAGTACGCATATTGTGGGTTCACGTGTCTGGTATGTGTGCTCCTGCTCATTTATGGATTATTTTGTCTTCCTGATGTATAGTTGCAGATGGCTCTCACAACACATTGGCAAACGTGAAAACATTTGGCAATAAAACTTTTGAATTGTCACGAACAGTTTTCCATTAGCAGATGAGCAGATGATAAGTTAAATGTGAAGGAACCTGTCATATGAACAATTCTGAATTGACATAGAAAGTCTACATTAAAATATAATACGTTAACATTGGAAGAATATGGCATTTAAATAGCTTAAATTCGCCTATGTACATGTACAGGCCTTGGTCCATCCACTGCTGGATGAAGGCCTCCCCACGCTGTGTGAATGGTGGCGAGTTATGACCATACCTCACCACACTGGTTAGTGCAGGTTGGTGAAAGTGTAGAGCATAAATGTGGGAGCATACAAGTACAGACAACAATGGTAGCCCCGACTGCAGCCTATAACACTTGGTTCATGAGAGGTGGTCGACCATCCAAGCGCTATACAGGCTAAAAACCTGCTTAGCCTCCAAGACCTGATGAGGTATTTCGTCACAGACCATCTACGTATATTGTTAGCATATCTCAAGTTAAAAAATCTGATTAATTGATGCACGGGAACACATTAAAAAGGGAAGTGGCTCGCCAAAAAGGAAAACATGTCAAAAATTAATTGGCAATCTCGACTTCAGTTATAAATATATGTAATTGGCACTTGTTAATTATTACAAATTACCGCAATTTTCAAGGCCCCAGAACTGTTCAATAATGTGTCAAAGTCCAAAAATTGTTGTTAACTCATTGCTGTTAGCTTGTTAAATGAAATATACGAGGGTGAAAAGGAGGAACGCACACATAAACGCATGATCAATTCCAATGTTTCTTCTTGTTAGCTGTGCATGGAAAATGAAAGCAATAACCAGGAGCGTTCGTGGATGAAAACCAATAAACATCTCGTGCAAATGTGTGCTAATAGAGACTATAATGACAAGATGAGCACGACTGACGTCAATTATTTAAGCAGGTCAAAGTCCATTGAGATTCGTGGCACGATGCAAAAAGACCCGGGAATTCGTAATTGGGTCTAGTTCTGCGATTAAACTTTGCGTGTCAAGTGTTCTACATTTGCTACCTAGATTGTCACGAGAATAAAAATGGCCCACTCTCGCAAACGAGAGCTAAAGCAGCATTTTGCCAAACTCCATTCTTCACGTGCCACACCATGCTACGTGCTTCACCCCCTCCGTTCAAATCTCCTGCGAGCATCCGACGATGGCTAAACACAGCCCTAGTGGCGGTGTAGAGAATGCCGATTCAAGTAAAGACCGCGCGCGTGTAAATGTATGAGAATAGAATCCTATTACAGTACTTTGTAGTGATTATTGTAATGAGCACTTTTAATGTTTTTTGCGCAAGTTCAGTGTCGCCATGGAGTTTATGAAGGAGTTTGCTGTGGATATGAATAGGGTATCTGTAATGTAACCCTAATGAAAGCTAGTTTCCCTTCTCGAAAATGTATAAAGGCAAATTAATCTTCACTTTTGAGATGTAATTTCGTATATTCAAACTTCACGTTTTTTTTCTAAACGACAGCATTTAGTCTTTGATTGATTACACTGGAGGATAACGATCATATTTAACATCGTGTAATTAAACAAAAGTATAACGAGACTATGATGGAACGAAGGCTAATCAATAAGTATCCATCAGCCGTATGCCCAAATGCCTCGATGAAATAAAAAAAAACTATATACCAACTTTGGGCCTCGACATCAGCTTTCTGAAGAACTGAAGCCCACAATAATCTCCACCCGTCTTGGCGGAGTGCAAAATCGTCGGTAATGGAGACGTCCACGTTGTCGTGAGAATAAATAAATAAATAGGGTGGAAAATGTTCACTCACCAACGAGCGACATGTGCAGAGAACCGTCACAACTGTTAACATCCACCACGCAAGAATCATGCTACAACTATTTGACTTTGGAAAGATGTTTGCCATTTTTGCTTATAACTCGAGAATAAAAACATTGTACATGAATGAGCAATGCAATAACAAAAATCAACAAAAGAATGAAAGTATCTTCAAAACAAACAATTTTTGGTTCTTATTGAGAGGGGGTGACCTTTCATACTTGCCTTCCCATAAAATCTAAAATAATTGTCTCTGCACTTATTATTTATTTTATTTACTACTTACATTTCTTATGCTATTCTTCGCGCACGGTTGCACTTTATTTTGCGCGCGGTCGTAATTTACTTTGCTCAGTCGGTGTTAGCCGCCGAGGTCGTGACGGGGTTTCTTTAATTATTCCTGTTGCTCTATGCCCCCCCTCGCGCACCGTCCCCATTCCGTTGTAATGTGGCACCGATGCACTACTTTATTGAGGGCGATATTCACACACGAAACACAGACTGATTGATTGACCCGACGACCAGACAACTTTTAACGGAGTGATCCGGTTGGTTGCGATTGCTCGTTAAAAAAAAAACACCTGCCGATGATTGGCTTATTGAAAGAAAATCATCCTCCACACCATACCAGTGCTGGATGTGTTGAAAGTTTTTAGATTTGTCTGTCACTTCACTCTTAATTCAACAATGTTAGGACAAAGCATGAAGGCCCCCCCCCCCCCCCCCCGTGTAGAGCATCACCTTCCTGTGTACACGGGACGGTGCCACACGGAATCGAGCTACCGAATCGGTGCCGAATTTAACCTTTGCATCCTGCCAATTCCATGGCAAGAGAACCGACAGCAGGGTTATACATCTCCCAAATAAGCAATCGGGTGGCGTTCACCCTCATTGGCGGCCCCGAGATAGATATGGAAATTCCACATTCCCATGTTGGACGATATACCTCTGCAATGTCCCTACGATTCATTACCCAGCGTAGGGAGTCTTGCTGTGAAAAACAAAAACAAGTAGCGGCGTTCCACTACGCCTCAATAACCAGCACAGGGATTCTCTCTATATGACTAAATGACCAGTACTGGGAGTATCTGTACGACTCATTAACCAGTGCAAGAAAGTATTACTATGCAGGCTGTGTTCTGCTATTATTCTGTAACCAGGGCAGGAAGTTCCACTACGGCTCATTAACCAGCACAGGGAGTCTCTGTATTAAATCAACCGGCGCAAGAAGTTTTTGCCATGCATAGTCTTCTGCTGCGGTTATTTAACCGGTGAAATGAGTCGTTTGCGAGACTCATCAACCAGTGCATGGAGCTCCCCCTCCACTACGGTTCACTACCCAGCACAGGGCGTCTCCAGTTTGATAGGCGATGCGGTGCGGTGCGGTGCTGGTTAACTTTCACCTTCACCCTCAAGCTTCTAGTTAGGGGGGGCGGGGGGGGGGCGGGGCACCCACCGCTGAGCAGGGGCCGGTTGAGCTTAAAGAGCGGAGGAAGCTCCCCCACGTCCGCCATGCGCTGGCAGACAGCGCGTGACAGGTGCTCGCCGTGGTACAAGCTGCCCAGGATGATGCTGTCCAGGTAGATGGGATCCACGTAGTGGCTGAGCAGCGAGCCCTGGATCCCCACCACGTTCCACCTGCAAAGACGAGCAAAGGCAAAGATGCACCCCCCCCCCCCGTATAGCCTCTAACAAGACTGTTGGGGCAAGTGCTTTTATAGCGAGTAGCACCTTTGAAGGCCGGCACAGCGCACGAGGGGGTGGGGTGGCCAGCACCACGCTCAGCCGCCTTTGTCTCCCGAGGGGCGAGGTTTACACACCGCACCAGGTACTCATTCGGGGCTCAGCCGACCTAGGTGAGGCCCAGGACCAGTTTAGATAATCGTTACCGGTGATGGCCGTGAGCGTGAATCGAACTCTGGTTGCCGGGGTTGGTAGCACAGCGCGCTAACTGCTACACTGTGTGCGCACACCCGTGCACAGTGTTGCTCACATCACTGTCTATCGATCAATTGAGACTGCCAGGTGGCTAAGCACTGACCCGCGCGGTCGGACTGTGTGGTTCAGCTACACAATGTGGCGTGCTTAATTTCCGGCATGTGTTTTTCCCAAGCGCATCGTACGACGTGAAGCCCAACCTTCGCACAGCGCGGGAGTCGGCTCACAACTCTCCCCACCCCCCCCCCCCAAAACCAACTAGCACACCCGTGTGGACACCTGCCCACTCACAAATATAAAGATCCCCGGTGTAGCCTTAAGAGATTGTTGGGGCAAGTGCTCTTAGCAAGCACCTATGAAGGCTGGCGCGGCATACGAGGGGGTGGGTAGCCAGCACCGCACCCGGCCGCCTTTATCTCCCGAGTGACGATGTTTACACACCACACCAGGTTCTCATTTGAGGCCGAGTCGACCTAGGAGAGGCCCAGGAACGGTTCGGATAATCGTCTCTGGTGTTGGTGGCCATGAGCGGGAATCAAACTCGGGCCCGCCGGGTTCGTAGAGCACAAAGTGCTCACCACTACACTACCGTTCCACGCACACACTGGTACGCACGCAGAGATACAGACACACACTCGTACGCACACACATGCAATCGTAAGACTCCTCCCATGTGTACACCCACCCAATCGCGCACACAACCACCCACACGCACGCCAATTCACGAGCCCACCGGGACACCTGCCCCCCCCGCACCCCGCCCCCCGCCCCCAGGCCCGCCCCCCCCCCAGGCCCGCGTGCCCTCACCTCGCGATCTTGTCGCTGCAGGACATGGTGAGCAGGCGCTCCCCCTGCAGCACGCCGTCCCACGTCTGGATGGCGTTGCACGAGCGCACGGGGATGGTGCCCTCCCCGGACTCGATCTTCGTCCGCAGTTGCCCTCGCGCTTTCCGGTTCGGGTGCTTGTCGCCGCGTTCCACTAAGCGCACAAAGACACCACCACCCCCCCCCCCCCCATATAGCCTGTTGGAGCAAGTCCTGTGTCACGAGCGCCAATTGTGGCTGCAGCTCCGCACGCCAGTGCGGTGTGCCTACCAAAAGATCCCCCGTGTAGCCTTAACAGACTGTTGGGGCAAGTGTTGTTAGTGGAGACCTATGAAGGCCGGCACGGCACAAGAGGGGGTGGGTGGGGTACCACGCCCGGCCGCCTTTGTCTCCCCAGTGGCGATGTTTACACAATGCACCAGGTTACTCATTAGAGTCCGTGTCTACCTAGGGGAGGCCCAGGACCGGTTCAGATAATCGTCACCGGTGTTGGCTGCGAGCGGGAATGGAACTCGGTTCGCCGGGTTTCATAGCGCAGCGCGCTAACTGCTACACCACCACTCGCCACTGGCTGGAGCTTCGCACGCCAGTGTGGTGTCACCACCACTACCATCACCACACCTGGCCGCTGTTGTCTCCCCAGTGTTGACATTTACACAGCGCATCAGGTTCACACTTTAAGACCGAATCAACCGAGCAATGACCAAGATTGGTTCACATATTGCTCTGCAGCAAGGTTAGCCGTGGCCAGGAATCACTCGGGTTGTTATGTTCGCAGCACAGTGCTCAAAGCACTCCGCCGCCTCTCCGCTTAGGCGCGCGTGCGTACGTACACATGGACGCACAACCACACATACGCAGGAGAACACATGGTGGGCAAGTGGATCACACTCAGTCGCCTGTGCACGGTGGTACAGTTTGACAAAGTGGGGCTCAACATTTATCCCATTTCTTGGCAGACCCGAGCCAGCTTAGTTACTAAACACGTACTGCATTTGTTACAGGAATTTTAACACCGACCCCGTTCTAAATGTTTGCCAAAATCAGGGAAGAGAGGCGAGATACTGCCCATTATAGCATAAGCAGTGCCATGTCACATTGGCGAATAACCCAGCAAAAATTACCATGAGCGTTGCTTTTGCTGTCTTTTACACTGGCCCATTTTGCAACAAGATTGGGTGCTAGCTAACTCTGCATGAAGAGCATTTTGCAATGTGTCCATCTCCTATAACAGGGCCACTCAACTATATTTCTGTTGGGCCACGTGATGTCACGCGGGGTCGTAAGGTCATCGTGTCACGAGGACAAGCGCTCTGACGTCACGTCATAATGTCTGGACATGTGACCGCTTATCTGTACCTCTCGTCTCCAGGACTCTCATCTTGAGCTCTGGTAAATCTCAATTTCATCCCACTCATCTTCATCGCGTGTCTAAAGCGCTCTCATCTTCACCTATGGTATATCTCACTTTAATCTCGCAAATATTAATCTTTTGCCTCCGGGTCTCTCATCTCTCTTTTTTTTCATCTCGCTTTCAAATCATTAATCTGTATTTCTCTCCGCCCGGGTGGACCGCAATTCCGCGGGCCGCTCCAAAGAGCATAAGTGGGGCCGGATGTGACCAGCGGGTCGGCAGGTGAAGGACCCTGGCGTATAGCATACAAACGATGACCCACAGAGCTCCACTGAAGCTGGTTGTTGTAATCACCAGCGAAACGTCGTACTCGAATTGTAAATGTTGTGGGTTTACTTTCCAATGCACCGGTGTGCTTCAGTAGTAACCAATTGGCATGTTTTGTTTACGTGGTAAACCTCACTAGTTGGCTGTGTTGGCTGGTGGCGGGTTTAAGGTCATTTATATTTACGTGATCTAACCCAAAATAAAACCTTTATTATGCAAAACAAAATTAAAATTCCATTAAACAATCATTTAGCGATCATTAAACTAATTTCACAAGAGGACCTGCGTTTAATCTCAAGCGGAAGTCTGGGATTTGTATCGAGCATCTCAGCGGTGCTGCCTCGATGCTGACGCAGGCAAAGGGACCGGTCCTCGGAGCCGCCCCTGCCGGCTGACTAAGCGGTTTTTAAAGGCATTCTAGAGGCAATGAGAACTGCTTTTGTGTCAAGCAATTGACCTTCCACCACAGAAAGAAATGTTCTTTCGAGCACAATCCACAGAATTATTGAGTGTTTTTTTTTTCAGTTTGTCAGACGTCACCCACGCCAATGTAATTTCATTTATCAATCGGAAATGATTTAGTGTAATGTTTGGAAGAAAAAAAAGCCCCAAACAAATCAAAGATTGCATTAAACGGCTTCCAAAAAAATGGTCTAAGCGACCTACCTAACGCACTCACAATAAAATGGTCTTGAGTTCTCATTTTGCGTTTTCACCAAGCTAAATCAATTCAATTGCTATTGTACTTTTCTAACGGCACACGCCACCAAGCACCCATGAGGTTGACAGGGCGAGGAGGTCAAACACTTCGTAATTACGGGACTTGAGTGTGCACATGTACGCGCATTGTGTGAATGCAAGGTTAACCCTGGGCCTCATGAAACAAGAGCCCATTCTTTTTGCAGGGAGAGGGAAGTCATAGCTTATCTCTCATGTCTCCTGTGTCACTCTAATCCCCGTCTGTGTCTCCTTAGCCCATGTCTACTTGGTCTCCCCTAGCCTTTGCGTATCACCCCTCCTCCACCCCACGACCTCTGTCTCCTTACCTTCCCTGTCAATTGTGGCGAGATGTTAACTCCCTCGTCTGGTATGCAGGAGGTTGTGGGTTTGATCCCGACCTTGACGCCTGTATATTTGGAGTTTGCATGTTGTCCTTGTGGTTGCGTGGATTTTTTTTTCCAGATCCTCCATATTTAGAAACATGCGCCGAAATGTATTTGGCTGCTAAAAATTTACATATGATAAGCCACTTCGCTTCTGAAAAAGAGCTATACAGCTCAGTGGGGCCTTACCTGGTAAAAATAAAAGTTTATTTTAATTTAGTATTCTACGCTCAATGCCTCCACACCCTTTGTGGCTTCTCCACCACCCTCTTTGTTTCCTTTGCTAGCGTCCTCTCATTCCAATCCCCGGTGTCTAATTACCCCCTCTCAACTTTGTTGCTCACACCGTCGTCGTCTCCTTGACCCCCTGCACTTCCGCTTACCCTCCATGCTGGCCTCGTGCGGAGAGAAGATGCGCGCGTCCCCGCACGGCGACGTGCTGATGTACAAGTGAAACTGGATGTGCGGCTTCAGCTGGTATCCGCCGCCTCCTTCCCGCTCGCAGAAAATGCAGCCGTCCTCGGCGTCGCCTTCGCTGCAAGCGACATGGGCAGCGGCGGGGGAACAAAGCGCCATTTCAATTCCACGACATCAGAACACGCGTTTGCGTTTTTTGACGATCCCGCGCCCATCTGCCTCTCTGTCGCAACGACGTCGTCTCTGTTGCCTCCCTTTGCCTCTTCATCCAGTGCTGCTTTGGGCAGTGATCTACTCAAGTCACTCGCATTGCATTCTTGGAGAATTTTGCAACAACAAAAAAACGTCAAAGAAGCCCGGAAATTGTAACATAAAAGTTAAAAAAAAAAATTTCTACAGGCATTATCTGATGATATTAACCCTAGGATGTGAGCCTTTATCAAACAGACACAGCACGTTTTTTTGGCATCATGCTACAGGCTCCTCCCCAAGTGACCTTGTGCACAACATTTCGCCCATTCCCGTTCCGAGATGCCTGAAAGTTACAGAGAAGTGCAGGCGGTCAGCGTTAATTTAATTTCGAGAGGCCGCTGTTTTTAAAAGACATTGTACTCACCGCAGAGAACTGCAGCGACACGACCACACTTGATGATAGCTAGCGGTAACCTGTCCCCCACACGCCCTCCTGCATTGTCTTTACGATTCCGTTCCGATGCCGTACGCGAAGGTAAACTGACGACGGTACACGTACGTCATCGGAATGGGAAAAGGTTAACATCTCATTACATTAAGGGATCAAGCCATTTTTTGTGAGTAAAAGCAAATCATTGTTTGCACGGGTCTACCTGACCTGCCCACTGAACAATGTAGAGTGCGCCAGGGCTGTATCTTCAGTTCATGTACAATCCGGTGATGTGCAACACAATATCCTGCATACACTTGACGCAATGGTCTTTAAATGTATGTCCTGGCAACTACAAATTTCACAACACAACCCGCCTATACTTTACACCATTACTTTGAAGCCAGTATTTGGGCCTCTGGTGCGTAACTAATATTGTATTGTGAGGAACAATGTTGGAAAATATTGCATATTTGAAGTAAACAGATAACTGCGATGTAAAGATGCATGATCTATTTAAAGGTAAGTGCACACTCATTATGTTCCCTTTCAAAATAGGTATTGCAGATATTACTTTAAATTCAGACTTTCATTAAGTCACGCAAATACAATTCTGTAACTGCACATAAATCAGGATACAACATCAAAGTATTAAATACTTCTTCTTTGGATCTTTCGGTAAAGTCACGTAGAATGAGAATTCATTCTACGTGACTTTACCGAAAGATCCAAAGAAGATTAATCCTTGCAGTCACGAAAGCTTTAAATCGATATATTAAATACTTGCCAGGAGTTAAATTAAGATTAAAATTAAAATTCTCAATATTGTTTACTGAAATACCAAAAAAAACGTATTTATCGACATCACCGTCTCTGCATCATGACCCTGAACATGCACACAGATCAGTACAGTCGTCAAACATCTTAATTGCAAGAACGTTCCTCACCAAGCCAAGCACGAGAATATTCTGACATTGCTTAATATGTCACGTGAAGATTAGACTAATACAACATTCTACCCGCCGCTAAACCCACATGTTTGGGCGCCAACAGCTGCAGTGTTCTTAAAACGAAAATCTCGTTTGCAAAAACCTTAATCATAACCAGATCGCTTGCGTCCCGCTGTTTACAAAGAAAAAGCATACCAAAATCTACCTGTGGGCCAATGCGCGTGCCTTTCTCAAAATTACGAACGACTTTTGTACCGTTTTGACCTGTCCCTTCTGGAGTATTACTCCAGCGTCTGCCCGTGTCATCCCACACATGCTGAACGCCGCGTGTGCTGCGTTTCCTTGCCGACCCTGGCGCGCGCCAAGAGTCACGTGCCTCCAATCTCACACCTTAACCCTGGACCTCATTACCCACCCACGTCTTTCCACCTGATTACAATTTGGTTTTTTATTTTTTTTAAAGTATAATTTCAAACACCTAACGCACTGATGTCTCCCAATACTGGCGGTGACCTTTCGTCGTAACTTTAAATAAAAAAAGTATTTTTGTTTGCCTAAAGGTCATTTAGCACAATAATTTTATTTTAAGTATGAGAAAAGTAAAGACCCAACCACCAGATTGCAGTTATAATCTAAAACCTTGGATTGCGAGTAACTTGGTCTGCGAGTGTTTTGCAAGACGAGCAAAATTTTAAATAAATATTAATTTGATAAACGAGCGAGGGTCTTGCAATACCAGTGGTACGTATACGCTTTGTCTGCCGAGCACCACGTCATCACAACTGATATACGAGTGCTTTGAAATACGAGTGCTTTGGCTTACAAACACGTTTCCAGAACGAATTATGCTTGCAATCCAAGGTTTTACTGGAGTTGTTTTGAAGAATTTACTTTTCAGCCAAGACATGCGTAATAATTTGTGGAATTAATTTCGATTCTGAACTTTGAGGGCACGAGGATCACTTAGGCAGTCTTAAGCAACGCGAGTCATCAAATACATACACAGAGATTAGCAGTCATGAAATTTGGAATGGGGTATTCGCCAAGACCCAAAGGTTGAGAAGCATCACTAATTCTTCATTAACATAAATATTAAAATCGCTACGAAGACGTGACTGAGGACTGGCTTTCAGGCTGTACGACTATTTGGGGAAAGTTTTGTGATATTATCAGAATCTTTATATATACTGAAAGAATCCGATGAGCTATGAAGCTCTTTTTCGTAGATGTCCAGTAGGGGCAGGTCAGAACATTACAACAACCAATGAAAAAAAACACGATAGCTGTGCATAGCATAGGAAAGGTAAATACATCACTTACAAATGTACAAATAATACTCGACAATTTTTTTTTCGTATATGGGAACACAGGCAGGTTCAAGCTATATCATTTTGACTGTTAAGAAAGGTAAGTGGACTTGGACAGGACGCACTTCTAGAAGGGATAATGGCCGGTGGTCCAAGAACGATGAAGGGGGTGACGGTCAAGGGAGGGAACGTGCAACAAGAGAGACAGTCGAACAACGCAGATGGAGCGCTGAAATTCGCTCATGTGCAGAAGGTGGGGGGAGGGGGGGGACTTCGATGGATGAATACTCTGCAGGACCGTGAGAGATGGCGATGGCTTGGGGAGGGCCATTATCCAGCTGTGGATTGATTACGGTCGATAGCGATGATGACTTAGATACAGACTTGGATTCGTAGATTAAAAACATATATAATTGAGCACGTTCAATTGTCAACCTCCCTCCTGCAACATAAACACTCGCTGCTGTTCCATTCGGCTTTGCGGTGACATCGGAATAAAAAATATGAACCTCACTTTTCCAGGTTGACGTGCCAGCTTATTGCAGCACGCAGTCCGTTCGAGTCTGGGCTCTTTGCAGAAATTGTGAAAACGCCGACTCTTTTGGCAGATGTTCTATACCCGTCGCCTAATTTCCCAAACACGCGCCTTGCTGAAAACTGCTGCGCTACATTCTTAATTCCTGCTGCAGGCTCAGGCACCGCAGATTAAAATAACGACACTCCCACGTTGGGGGTCAGCATGCACACTCGGGGATTAAGACACAGTTGCCACGGGGCCAATTTAATGGTCGAAATCCCTACAGCGAATACGAGAAACCATTTGGCTCAGGCACCCGGTGTCGATTAACGCACAGCGTGAGTTCATACCTAAATTATTGTAATTTTAAACAAGCCACTGCACGATGAATTGTTGGGTTTTTTTTGCACGAAATTACATTTCACGTGAACGTGTATACATATACGCAGAACCCTTTTATGAATCCACTGCTATGAGGCCCTCCAGTATTCTGACCATACTTCACCTGGCTGGTCAGTGTGGTGTTGAAGATGAATGACACGCAGACTAATGGTTTATGTACATTTCTCCCACTCCCCCTACGACCGGGTTGTAATTATGCTATTTAGTAGGCTTGCAATGGTTTATCAATTCATAAATGAAATCGATTATGTTTACAATACACACATTGATCTGCCATAAGAAGAACTCATTATTTACAATTTGTGCCAATTAACGTCAAACATATATGCTCATGGAGTGCTTAAGAAAGCATACATTAGAAATAACAAAACAATACAAATGAGACAGAACAAGTTAACGACTCTTCAACTGATTGGCTCATGGCATGCGTCCCGATTATGAGTCGGCAGTACTTTGAAAGCTCATGCTGTTGTGCGACTTCACGATTTAAACCAATAAATATTTGTTCGACTGTAGCCCGGTGTTTAAGATGGTGATCGTATTTGGCAGTCTATGATGTAGACCGTAGCAACGGTTATTAAACCGAGTGAGCGTTCTGACAGTCTATAATGTAGAATGTAGCCTGGTTCTTACCTGAATAAAATAAAAACAAAAACCACGACGTTTCTATCGCAACACAAGCGGTCATCATCAGGAAAAGGGGGGGGGGGGGGGGCGGGGGTTTAGCCTCGAAAGGCAAACCGTTTTGCAAACCCTCCTGGCCTACTGGCTATCAACAAAGATTCGTTCATGAAGCCATCCATATATAAACACAGACACAATTTCAACCAAGAGGATGGTTATAAACTCAGCAATCATTGGAAAAATGTCAACCACTATGGGTCATGACTCGTTTTTTTCTTGTCAACCTCCACCGTCAGCAGTGTGGGTGTGTGGAGCGAGGTGCAATGATTGCCTGGAGGCCTTTTTGGTGGCGACCCACGAACTGCTGAGTTTTCTCCTACATTAACATTAGCTGCCCCGCCCATGCTGCTGACACACTTGGGCTACGCCCATTTCTAAACCTTTATAAACAGTTTGCCTTGAGAGGCTAACCCCCCTCTTTCCTGATGACGACCGCTTGTGTTGCGATGGAAACGTCATGGTTTTTGTTTTTAACTTTTATTTTATTCAGGCTACAACCAGGCTACAGTCTACATTAGTGTTTTTGTTTATTAAATTTTTTTATTGACTTTACTATTATTTTTCGATCTACGTGACTTTACCTAAAGAACCAAAGAATGAATTCCTGCAGTCACGGAAGTCAAAATTTGGGTGATT